GAAGATACGTCGTCTAGGACGGGAATACGTACCTCTCGGAATCATCGGATGACTGAGGCCCTGCCGTATCTGAATCGCTTCTTTTGTGCGACAAAGCGCTCCAACACCAGCGGAGCACCATATATGGAGATGATCGTCTTCTTGGATGGATATCGGGTGCAACAATTGGAAGCCCAAACGTATCATCTCATCGAAAGCTGTGGAACAAGAGAGATTTCCGCGTTTGGAGAGATCGAGCAGTGTAGCGATCTCAAGCATACACGAAACCTTGATGCGGTTTCTTCACGGATATTACGGATGTATCTACTCTCTGACGTCTTCTCGACGAGACCGGTTTGACCCTCGAGTCGAATGACGCTCATCCACGCATCAAGGGAAGCGCATCGATTACCAGCTTCACATCGACGTGACTAACCGTGGTCGGTTGGAGGCGACAGGAAGTTTCCGCATACCAGAATATTTTCCGCGTCCCCGAGAGCATCGGCAAGTTTATCGATGAAATCCGTCAGTAATTCAGGAAGAGAATTCGGTTCCAATCCGTCAAGGTCTACGGAAACTACGGAAAGGCGGAAGTGTTCGGACATCTGAAAAAATTGGCAGATGGAAGTACATACGACTGACCACGAATATCTATATTATTATTGATTGATGTATACCTCCTGATACCCGCCCAGCAACCTGGTCGATTCATTCTAACCTCGAATTGAGTCACTAGCGCCGGTGTCAAATCCTCTTGAAGATCGACGAGCTTCACCACCAAATGGCGTAAACCATGCGTAGCGTTATATAAAATACCGGCCGAGTTTTCCCGGTTTCTAGACAGTCCAGGAATCGCCCGCCCGTCGCCTTGATCGATTCTCCTTGGGAACACCGCATGCCACCGGCGCTCCGCCGACTCCCAAGAAGCTACTCGAGACAGGAGCGGCTGATTCAATTCCGTCGTGAACTTGTCACCTACCAGGAAGGACCGAATGTCCTGACACACCATCATCGATATGCTGCGAATTATGAATCATGAAGTATTTTGAGAAAAGTCGTCCCTGCTGTTCCGTGTGCAATCCCATTGCGGGCGCGATTCCGAAGAGTCGAAAGCTCGATTGTGGATGCGTACTCGTTTTCGAGGATAGTGCGGCAAACGACTTCTTGAACCCCGAAATTCGAAGCTTTATCTAGGGTCATGTCCTCCAGGTTCCATAGAGCGATTCGTAATCGATTCTGAGACAGGGTCATGTCGTCGGTCCGGGACGGGACCGGGCGCTTTCGGGTGTAAAAGCGAATTATAAAAGATATCATCCAGCTATTGGATAAATATCGAATCCTGCTCCCGATCGGGTACATATTCATGGATGTGGTATCCATCGAGGCGGTCACCCGAGGCGTTTCTAGTGGCAACTCACCACCGCAAGATGTGAGACGAGTCGGTACACGTCGAGGTCGATCTGGTTATCTACCAAATCGGCTCTTCTGGACTTTCTAGACTTCATAGAAATGCTGGGCGAAGTTGGAGGGCGCGTTTTGGTCAGCTCGTTGGAACCGTTCATTACCGCATCGCAGTCGCAAGGTTCGTCGTCAGTCGACAAGTGTGGTCGGAGAGCGGCGAATTTTGAAGGTGTCATACCTGTCGATGGAGAAATTTCTCTTCCATAAGCTCTGCCGACAAATCCGTGCTCGATTCTGGTCGTTTTCCGTCGCAGCTTCGCTAACCTCTAATTTTTAGAAGAGAGTCCACAGTCTTGAAGCGTAGCTTCTTGTCCCTAGCGTGGCAAATACTGGCAGCCATGTTCTGAGTGAGCCCAGGTACAGCCATCAGGTCAAACATCGACGCCGTGTTTATATTCACACGAGATATGCCCCTGGAACATGCCCCCCATGAATTCACTTCAATCGAGTCACCCAACCCCCATCGGGATCTTCGGTCGGGAGATCGCAAGGAGAAAAATCGAGGTATCGATCGCTTTCACTCACTTCGTTTGATTTGTTAAATTGAGAGAATCCAGAGAATGGGAAACGCAATCGACTAAGTTGTTTTTCACGCATACGTCGTGTCGCAGGACTTCGAGTCGGGCGGCACCGACGCCAGCCACCACCGCGAGGTCTTCTACCTGTGGCGAGGGGAGGAAAATATTCATTCCAGAATGAGAATACGAAAACAGTAGAGCTCGATCCTCACTCGGAAAACGAAGGCAGGAAGTTAAACACTCAGATCCTGGCCGTTTTTCCTGACACACCTTCCGGAAACCTCCGATGGCACTCCTGTGGTCGATAATGTCCCGCGCAATTTTCCGCGAGATTCCTGTCAAGGTCATCAACTCGTCCTCACTGGCTGTGTTCAGGTTGAGCAGCTCATAATTGCTGTTATCGTTCACGTTGTACTGGAATCTGGGAGGATTCGGGCGTAGGCGTTATGTTCCCCATCATATGATTCCTTCCTGCTCGCCGGGGGAAGTCCGTATACTTACGTGGCGCTGAGATCGCGACATGAGCGGTTGCGGCTCGACCTGAAACTTTTTCTCAGTTTTCGTCGGAATCTTCTCGAAGATGTAGAGAATGTGCTTCTCGTTTCCCAGTCACCATTGACAGCGGGCACTCCCTGCTGCTGGCCCATGTCTGTGAGCTGTCAGCCTGGAGAGGTGTGCGTCTCCTGCAGAACGAATAATACTCTCAGTGGGTTGAATTCATTCAGAAATAAGTATCCGCTTCAAACTGAGTTCCGCGAAGGATCTCGAAAGAGACGGGGCTCCTTGGGATCTCAAAGCCTTGATTTACCTGCCTCCAACTAGACCCCAGAACGCCGGTGCAAGACCCGTGTGACTCTCCCATATCCAACCATATGTATTATCAAACATGACGAGAAGTCCGCAGAAATGAATCTTTCGGCATCGCGGATTTTCACAAAAGATTCTCGCGGACTTTATGTTCAATGCGGGGAGTGAGAAGCTCTCCCTGGTCGTATGGGACGCTCCTGACGGATATCTCGTCGGACCAACGGCAAAAAAGCGAATGAGAAAATAATCTGAATCACAGCTCTCCCGCTCCCCGATTCCAGAGAAAATTCTAAGGTCGCCATCCCTTCGAGCACCTGGGACTGAGCACCCTCTATAGAGACATTGCAGGGAGCTCTTCTCCTTTGCACATTCACGCCCCTATGAATCGGCTCATTGGGACGCCTTGACCATAATCGAGTGCGGATGATGGAAAGACAGAAAGAAGAATTCCAAGTTTAACATAACATTGTATTCCCAACAATCGGGTTGAGTAAGGGCTTAATCAGTTACATACGCCCCGTGAGTAGTACACCGTGTTCACGCGGATTGGGAACCGCGCTTAACCGCTAATCTCCGCCGCTAACTACCGCGAAAAAAAAACGCGGACATACGGTTTACAGCGAGAGAAGAAGGGCTTTTTCTCCTAGTTTCACCTCTTTTTTTTGAAGGCTGTGATCACCTCGGCTCCGCGGGAGAGCGCGAGATCCTACTAGTATTCGGACACGATCGTTCGAGGCGCGAAAACGCCTCGGAGATGGTGTTCGCCGCCAGCCACCGGGAATGCGATGAGAGTGGTGCGTACAGATAGCCTCAATCAAATCGAGCGCTCCAATTCTTTCTCCTCCAGCCCTGATTTGCGAGCTCCGAACTCTCGGCGCAGAGTCAATGCTGCTAACCATTTTCGTACAAAACATCTCTCCGAAGAGCCTTATTCTGAAAAATTTCGCCCTGCTCATTTGTAATCGAACAACCGATAACCGATCACCGCCTGCCTCTCATCCAGAGTACCATGCGAATCAGGGCGGGGAAGGGGCAAACGCCGGGGTACTATTCCAAATAGTTTCATTCGGAGGACACAGAACCTCTGGTCCCTGGGGTCCATTGGCTATGAGCGAAAAGTCCTGCGCGCTCTGCGATTTTCGATCAAGATCCAAACCTAACGACTCACGAGGCTCAGCTTTGCGGGGCCTCGAAACCTCGACTATGTCTGACTTCCGGGACAGGCTTTGATCGATAATGTGAGGAAGTCTGCGTCGTATGATCAGTTTTCGAAACAGAGGCGATAGAATGGATTCCCCGCCCCGTCGTGGCTGTGAGTTCCCTTTCGATTGTTGGATACCCTGGGAGGCCGACTGCAAAGCAGAAGCTTCCTCATCCATCCGTATGAACCTGTTTTAGTGACGCGAGAACTTGAAGATACGATCGATTCGGGTTTCCGTCTTGAAAGCTCGACGTGGATTGACAGTTTGAGCGGAGACGCCCCGGAGCGGAGAAGAACTTCCGTCACCGGCGCTGCTCTCACGACACGTACAGCTAACGAAACCCGACTTTCGGGTATTATTCAATCTATCGGGGCTCAAGATTAACTTCCTAAGCGCGAGCATCGCTTGACCACTTGACTCGTCGATAAGGTCGACGGCGGCGCGGTGGCCGACCGTAAACGAGCGCAATGCAGTCGTCAACCTGCTAATGCTATCATTGAGATGGTCCAAGGGAGATATTGGTCCATTCTGGGTAAGGGAGGAGAACTCAAAAAGAGAGGTGCGAAAGTTATGAAACATGAACTCGTGTGATATTTTTTTCTGGCGATCGGTGCACAGCCGGATCCTAATGACAATCGACTGCTACACCGAGAGATCCCGATACTATGACGCGGTGCAGCAGTCTATCTGGCCGTAGTCTCTCTCTTGGAATCGAGATCTCCGGCTGTCGTTTTCGGAGATGTGTGCGACAGATTCGTCCATGGAATGAGTGCAGATTAGGGCAGCCGCGTCATTGGGCTCTGTCACGATGGGAAATACGAGCAAAGGGTGGTTCCCCGCCTCCGACGTGTGATCCAATCATCTTCGGCGGCGCGAAACTGCATATAGTAGGAATGCCTCTGTCATGTCATGAGTGTCCGTGCCGTATGAGTAAGTGTCTATGCTGTCACTCCCGACCAAATGAGTCATTTCACTCATAAAGTAGACACCGCAGCGATCGCAGAGTCGACATCGATGCCTGTGTTCTATGAAATGACAAGTTTCGTTGAACCCATTACGGGAGGATTCCCTTACGCCGTAGAGATTTTTATGTGCCGCCACTGAGAGTGATTATCTGGGTTATTCGGTTGGGGAGCGAGTCTTCTGACCGATGAATTCACCGGCGCTCTTCGCCGCTGCAAGTGTCGGGGTCAGTACACACTGATCGGATATTTGGAGAAAGAGAAGCGCTCAAAAAAATTTTCTGGCAGAGTCGATCCACCCGAAAATCTTCTGAACCCAAATCACGACCATTTTTCCGGGAGAACCTCGGCATTGAATAAAATATGGGATGGAGGAGATTCATACGAGGAGCTTGATTGTGACTTCCCCTGGAACTACTGCGTGAGAGGCGGTGCGAACAGCGGTGCGAGTACTCTAATCGAAGCAGTCTCGACTCTGCATTGTGGTCGATAGCACAGATGAACGGTCCCAAGATTCCGATGTCATCGCCGAGGAGGCCTGAATTTTCGGTTACAGAACGATTGACACTTCTACTAACCTTCGCAGAGAGCCGGAGTCGATGAAGTCAGCTGCTGTTTATTCCGACTAAGAAGCAGGGCCGTGATTTGGAAGTGAGTTGACTGCCGGTGCGGCTTCGCGGAGCGGCCACAGATGGCGCTCGACTCGCTCACGATAACTTTGGCTGAGTCTGATGACGATCGACTTTGGATTGAAGTCTTGCGGAAATCCATCATTCTCTGATGTCACCGGTTATCGCTGTGTGGCTCTAGGGACCAGTAATCAGTGATGTCCCCTATCTGGATATTCACACGTCGATTTTGAATGTCGAGGGAAGACCCGATACCGATGGACTAACGATTCTGATTCCTGTGCATTGTCATGGCCCCTTATGACGGGATTGAGGGATCGATACCCTGGATAATATCTTCCTATCAACTCGTATCTCCGAGTTCTCTTCATTATGATCGCATCCCCCTGTCCAGGTCGAGATGTCTCTGCAGAATTCCAAGTCGAAGAGGTTTGCGCGCCCTCATCTGCCTCGGGATTCGAGCCCCGTTAAGAGCCGGCCCGGCGCGATCATGGCTTGGAGCCCGAAAATCCCAAGACGATGGGACGCCCGGGAGCGCTCTTGTTTCGGCCGAGCTATGAGCCCAGTTCTGTTTCCCGATATCGATCCTCCAAAAGTCGCGGATCCGTGTCTCCAGGGTAACGCGGAATTCCGTGAAGCGAAGTGAGCGCTGCTGAGCAGGCTTTGGATTCAAACGCAGGACGGCGACGAAACTAGAGCCCTTCTCGGCATTGATCAAGAAACGCAATGGAACTGCAATCTCAGTTTTTCGGGCTATTTTTCAGGGCTAGTACCGGGACGCCGTGAGCTTCGACGGGATTCCCCATCGAACGGGTGAAGATTCCTCAAATTGAGGTCGGCTCATCGAGTGAAGAGCGTGACGGCTTATTACGATCGCAAATTCTCCGAATCATTCCGACAAGTAATCTTATTCCCGCAATACGCGTTTGCAAATGAATACGGACACGGAAATCATATATCCGCCGGAGACGATCCAGCGTTTGGGCAATGATAGCCGCTGAACGAAATCATGCAAATCTCATCACGACGGTCTCGATAGAACGATTCAGTGACGATGGACGGGACCCCGATCGAGGCTTGGACGGTGTCCGCGGTCGTATTGGATGTCGAATTCCGCGAGGCCACCTGCCATTTTCAGGAGCTTTTCCTCATCGTAGTCGTATTAGAAAATGATCCCAAGAGTACTACAGGAGCTCCGTCGAGGATCCCAACTCGGGTGGGAGCACATAATCGCATCGCGGGTCGGACTCGTATTCATAAGCAAATGATGGAGATTCCGATAAACGTAAGAATGCTCGAGAAGCGAACAGTGAGTATTGGGGAGGCATTCCCATGGACGGAAACGAGCCTCGCCGAATCGACGAGCACCTTCTGATCCGAAGAGCTCGGTCACTTCAGGATTGAAGTTGAAATTAGGAGAGACCTCGGATGCTCTCTCCATCTCACTCAACGGTTGCCATTTTATTAAATGATCACAGCCTGACTCAATGCTCGGACCGCACCATGCATCGATGATGTGCGCTCTCATGGACTTGTCAAATCTATATCTAGAAGGTATGCCGTTTGTATAAGCTCACAACTGACCACTCCAAAAGCGAGGTAATAATTCGGAAGACAATGAGGAAGATTGTCAGGGAACTACTTCGTGAAGAATTTTGTTATTGAGCCAGAGTCCTTCTTTTTCAAAGTGTTTGAGGAGCGCTTCCTAACACCCCCCTTCGGTTTGTTCGCTTTCGGAGTGAGCTTCACGCATGTAGTATTGCTATTCTTCATCTGCTCCCTGCGCTGCTCCTTATCCATGCATCTATTTATGTGGAGATTGACTTTCGCTTCCGTGACGTTCCGCATGATGACCGCGCAAATAGGACAATAGGTCTCTTCAATCAAATCCGCTGTTGGAGCGGTCGACCTGTCCGAAAAAGTCGAGCCCGGTTCTTCCGCGATCGCTTCAGTCGGGGATGCGGAATTCTCACTGTCGTCGAGATCGATAATTTCATCGTCGTCGAGTAGACGAGCCTCGCTCGCTGAGGGCGAGGGCGATTGCTTATGAGTCGGCCCCGGCTGCGGTGACGCTTCTTCACTTTTCTCGATCAGGCATTCTGTTTTCGGCTCATCCCTCGGCGGTGCTGCTGTCGACTTGAAGAGTTGACTCAGAGTTGCTTGTTTCCCGTCTGCTTCCTGGAAACTCGACATGCGAACGCCCAACAAGCGGAGTTTAGTCCCTGGATTGCGAGCGAGCATACTCTTCAAAACTCGGGTGGCTTGCGTGGAAATTGTCTTCAGCGACCTGGTTGGCAGCTCTAAGGCTACGGACCGACTGAAGACATCGAACGAGCTGGTCTTGAATTTCACCGTGATCAATTTTCCTTGTAAATCGCTGATTGCGAGATCCTCAGAGAGTCTCTCCGAAAGGTGATGGCAAACTTCTGTCAAAAACTCCACGTTGTCCGAATCCTTGAATGTGGTCTCGGCACTCTTGGACCGTCTTGTCCGGGATGAGATTTCTGCGAAAGGAAATCCATCAGGAATCGCTGACGAACTCATCGCGCCGAGTACCTCACCACCCGATATGTCAGGGTTCCCATCTACCTGAGTCGTTCACTAAACCGTCGCATATTCCTTTCGCTGCGGCTAGAAAGGATTTCGCAGTTGCGTCACTGAAACCCAGGAAAAGTTTCGCTCGCTGGTCGATGAGATCAGAGCAGTTCACGCATCCCAGGGCGGCCAGCATCTGGAAGGCACGGACGAAGAATGTCACGTAATGGTACTGAATACTATACGCTAGCGAGATCGGCCTTAACGGCAGGCGAAAATTACCTTCTCTTGAACTTGGCCAACGCCAAATATTTTCCGCACGGTGAGATTTTCTATGAACGATTCGATCTCGGCAGGAGTCGTTAATCGGAACTGAAATCCAAGACACGGCGTCTCTCACCAAGATGCTCAGCGAGCCGCAATTCGGAATCATATGCGTCATCAATGTACCTGCCCGTTCGGCTTATTGACATCCGCAAGCATTTTCGCAACCATTTGATTCGGCCCGATTCCAGCGCTACACGTGAGACCCGTGGTGTCTCGAACGTCCTGTCGGATTTCGGCAACGATCTGAAGCGAGAATGAGACGGTGATGAACTTCCCCGATCTCGCCGCTACCGACAAGCGCAGATACCTCGGCTCCGGGACTTGAAACTAACCTGGTCCGGGGTCTTCTCCGGGTTCCGACAGAGTTCAGTTATATCTAGCGCCGCTTCGTCGAGGCCGAATTGGACCAAATTCGGATCGTAGCGTGACAGTACCTGCATGACTTTGGCGCTCGCTTCTGAGTACTTGCCCCTGGGGAAATAGAGCCGGCAACATGAGGACGTAATAAATGAAAGGAGCCCTCCCTCCTTCGAGCGAGGACTTTCGAGAGTATCAAGAATTCGGAATATTGAAGGAATCGGCGTAGGAACCGTACATATCGGGGCGGACCAAGACCAATTGGGGACAAAGTTTGAGAGCGATGAAGCCGGGAAGGCCCGCTCGGACACCGAAGCGTCGAGCGACATAATTCGACGTTGATATCATGGAGTGGTCTCCGACAGCCATAGGTCTCTCCCTGAGAGTCGGATCATCCCGCTCTTCCACGCTGGCAAAGAAGGCGTCCATATCAATGTGAACGACAACCTGTTGAACGTTCAGCTCGAGTTGCTCAAGATAATCATCCGCTTTTGTCTGCGCCTCAGACCACTCCTGAAGGGGGAAACCTGATTAAGATGCTGAAGCCTTCTCAAAGTCGGGGAAACCTGCTCGAGTCGGAGCTCGCAGCTCCTCCACAGACACTGACTCACAAGGATTTCATTCTACGGCAAGTTAATTGTATTGAGGGATTTTGGCTTTCAAAGGAGTCGTTTTCCGAAGCTAGTCGCCTTGTTTCCGTCTGGCTTGAACTCCAAAAAGTCGACTCACGTGATTCGAGGCCGTCTCGATCTTCTCGAGAAGTTTCTTGATACGTTCCTGATGTCGAGCATTCTTGCGTTGCTGATTCTCCCAGAATGGTGTTCCTCGAGAAGACTCCTCGATGATCTTGTTCACCCGATCCTTGAATTCGCGCAAGAGCATTCGAGTCAAGTCTTACCGTGAACGTTTGCTTTGTCGAGGAGATGGCTCCGGCATAAATCGCACTCGAAGACGGTATCTCGATTTATTGACCGGGAACCTACCTTGTCAACGCCATCTAAACCCGCCTTGTGCGGATTGAACATGACTAAGCCCACGATTCGCTGCTTCGCAGCACTACTATGTGCGAATAAGTCGTGCACGATCGAGTTCCGGGTGAGATCTCCTATGCTTCGACGCTGTCCTCACATGGAGAACTCCAGCGCGGAACATGCTATCGATTGAACTTCGTCAGCTGCGCGCGCCCGTCAGTGGAGTGTTCCGTCCGATGGGAAGATTACAAAATTGCCCGCGCAAAGTCCTCTATCCCGAGCATCTGCTGAAATCGATCCGACGAAGCTTCGACTTCCCGTGCTGCTCATCCCTACTCCAATGAGGAAGCGTTGGAATTATTCAATAGTGCCCATGGAATCACGGACGGCCACGGAGTGGTTCGAATGAATTTCTTCATAACACACAGTACGCCCACTCTGAGCCATTTCGAAACCACTGTGACTTCCCGTGTGGCGGGCTCAGTTAGGGACTGAAGTCTTTGTTTCGAAAGATCAACACATGACCAGAGTCAAAAAGAAGGCGACTCGATTTCCCATTCTGTCGACCAGGGATTACAGAAAAGCTCGACTCGGCGTTCTTCATTTAACGTCAATTGGTTCAAGGCCCGCCGTGGAGACAACCCTCGTCTCGTCGAATCGGAACCCATACCCGAGTCCTCGTCTGAGAGCTCTGTGACTTCAAAATGACGGCGAAGGACATCTCATATAGCGACAAGTACTACGACGACAAATACGAGTATCGCCACGTGATTCTACCGAAGCAGATCGCTGCTCGGGTTCCGCGAACTCATCTGATGACCGAGTCGGAATGGAGACAACTTGGTGAGTACACGCGATTCTCTTCCCATGACAAGCGAGCAAGACCCTACCCTCGTGTGATGATTCTCGGGGCTTACAGTCGTAGAATATTTTCGGCGAGGAACATTGTTCTGGCGGAGGCTCCCTATGACTCCTCTAAGCAGATTTCCCCCTCTCGCAGGTGTCCAGCAAAGCCCGGGATGGATACATTTCATGATCCATGTTCCTGAACCGCACATACTACTCTTCCGAAGAGCTATACCGAAAGAGAAAGTCCCCGATCAAGAGGAACAAGTGCGGAACGATCACATGGACTTCCTCTGATATGCCTGTCCATATGACCACGATCGATCATCGACGATTTCAATAGTCTCACAAATAGAAGGCCGATGCGTAGATGGTCTTCAACGATCATGTTAACTCAATTCTTCTCGAATCAGAGGCACAACACGACTGCATCCGACTCATAGTTATCATAGAACACCCGTTGTTACCGGATCCCGAATTCACAAATCCGTTGTTGTATAAATGAATTCAGGTCAGCCCATCCGCGCTGTATACTCGTAGGACTCATCGAGACAGATCCCGACTCCGATTGGAATAAAGTCAATCCGCTCTAGGAACAATGTTAAACCATTGATAAAACCCTCGCTTTCGGTCAAAGAGTTGAGCGTCCGGAAAGGAAACATGGAATAACCACCTGATCTGCGATACAGAAGATCGAGGAAAGAGGGAATGTCGAGACACGTTGACTCTCTCAACTGACAAGGATCCTAACAAGTTCAATATCCACACACTGCGACGAACACGGAACGTGGGTTGAAGATTTTCCAGTCGGCCTGTTCAAACAATCCGTTTCCTCAATCTTCTATCACTACGATTGCCAGCTGGAAAATCCCAACGGAAAACTCGTCGTGGGCGATCCGTCCGCGACTTCGAGGGTTTGCCAGACACGGGTTTCGATTGGGCCCAGTCAGTCAGGGGCACACGCAGGACTCCCTTTGAGGGCGGGGGCTAACCGCCTCCAGGCTTGCTCGTGGGCCTACTTGTTACGAACCGATGGCCACGAGCAAAATCAGCCGTAATTTTGAATGATCTCATCATTTTTCCGTATGAGAACTAATCTCCATGCTCAGAGCTGACGATGAGACTCGTTCTGAAATACTGAATCAAGCTCCCTTGGATTCGATGCAAGGATGTCGAGGGCTCTCGGAAGAAGGGCGCAATATTCTACTGTCTCTTCGTCTTGGGCATGGTACGGCGGAAACGTGCGTCAAGCTTGCTAGACACCTCATCACTTTCCCGAAAACCTCAACTTTTCTAAACGAGGACGATCCCTTCGAAGCTCGATCCATGATTATGACTAAAAATCAGCAGGATCTTCCTATCCAAATCTGTGCCGATTGCCGGCTGCAGCAAAGCGGTGTCAATTTCAGCCTGCTGCTGATCCTCGGACCGAAATGTGGTTACGCGTCACGCACGGAAGCATTGAATTATCTCTGAGTATCAAAATTTCCTGACTCTTGTGGGACTGATTGGGGCCAGGGAAAGCAACTGGAGATCACTTCCGACAGCATGAATCAGGGGGTTTGGGTGGGAGACTATACACTCGCCAGGCTCATACTGCTTACGCTAGACTCAGTCGCGGAAGTTTTCTCGCAAGGAAATTCAGCCAGGAACCAAAATGTTCTCAGGAGCAATTCCCATTCTTCGCGATATGTCTTCGCCCACGTCGATCGAGTTGCCTACCGTGGAAATATTTCTGGGCTCCTCCAGAGTTTCCGATAAGAAAGGAGTACTGAATAGCTGTGAGTCAATCAGACGCTCATCGGAATGAAGACGAGAGTCGCTCCTCCATCCTTCCATAATTCATAACTGGAATCCGTCTCGTGAAGAGCCTGAATTCCGGCAGTTGCGACCCAATCGGCTGCGCGCTGATCCCCAATCATTCTACCATTAACTCGCTGGAGTGTACCCAGAATGTGCACGGGAAAATGACCACCAAAAAAATCGGTGCGACAGCGAAGGATGAGGATGAGGACAAATTCTCTGGAGAAGCCCGGAGCCGACTGCGGCAAGGGATCCGAATTTGCCTCGTTCCGACTACCCCTCCGGACTCCTATCCGGAAGATGAAGACCTAGATTCTTTCTCACTATGACTGGCTCCTACTACACGGTTCTAGGAACTGCAGAGCTTCCCCTTCTTCCCAGTTTGTAGATCACATCGGAGTGCTCCGCGTCGTTGCATTGCGACGGTTGTGTAACGTCGATCTGATGTCAGCGATTCGAATGAAAAAGAATTTGCATTTAACCGCCATTCAGTTCAGTTTCACTCTGTCGTGGCCAGCGTCTACTGTCTTATCGGAACTGATTGCGCAAACGCCATCCACCCATCGAAGGTCTGGATGGAGTCTATTGACCGACATCTTTTTCGCAAACTCCAATTTCTCAATCATGAGAGCGATCAGGTAATTCCCGGGGGACATCGACCCATGACAGCATTTCCTCCAGAAATACTTTCTCCAAGAATCAGGTATACTCGTTTTTTGTCCTCGCGAGGTAAAAAAAACTGAGGCCCCGTCGCTTATTGCGAACGCATCTCTGACATGTCGCATTTACCCAGGGAGGACCCGTCGCTGGTCGCTGCGTTTTCTCATCAGCTGGGTACGAAGTCTGACCGAGTTAGGTCGAAATCATCCCGGCTCTAATGTTCTAGGTACGTAGGTCGGATCCGGACTATGCTCTGCGGAATGGGGTTCTTGACCGATGATTGGGCCGATCAGAAGGAGTCCGATCACTGCGGTAAGCTCAGGATCTTCCGGTCGATGAGCATCGCACTGACCAACGCGGATCATACACCTCACAAGCGGAGCTCCCTGTAAGTCAACCCTTCTCTGAACCCATCACTCCTCAGGAAAAGGTTCTGCATGAGACCCCACTTGAGGAGCAGGGATTGTAAAATGATATGTTTTCCTGCTCCGATTGACACATATCAGGAGCGGAAACTTTAACCCCGCGCAGACCCTCGGTCACTCAACTTGAGTCGGAAATTTCGCTCGAAAACTCGGACATGAAGACCTCAGTCAGTCGCTTACCTAATGCGTCGTCTGTCTCTGAACGCGGTGATCATTGCCGGTGTTCTGCCAAACACTTGATTGCGAAAACACCTCTCTAGATATTCAGAAGGCAACAAAGACATCCACTGCTCCTGATAGGCCCCTGGAAATGTCGAGAAAGCCAGCAAAAACGGTCCCCGAAAGTTCTCACGTTACACAAGGGAGCGGTTTCGCTTGATCTCCGAGCGAGCTATGACCGATCTTCACGAGTGACAAAATATTTAATTCACTTGGAGAATAGTGAAAGTTTATCTGAGATATATTCAAATTGGATTATGTGCATCATGACGATAACGCCTGCCTCACTGGCTTCGTCAATGCGCACGCGAAGACCTAATCGGCCCGGCGAGTGTCATATAAGTAGGCGTCACTTCCCCCAGGCAGATTTATTCGTGGCCCAGACTCTGACGGCATCGGTGTTCTGAGAAGACTTCGAGGTGCGGTTCATAAGTTCATCGTTTGATCCGACTCAGTGTAGGACCCACAGAGAGCCAACAAAATCGAAGACATTTCGTCTGAAGAATGCCTCGCGCGTTCTGAGTCTCAGATTGGAGTCCCTGTCCGTGATTCACGGAGTTCTCAACGCGCGACGTCATCGACTCCAAATCCGCTCGCTGGGCGGCATGCAGCTACTCTATTTGATTGCCACCTGGCTCTTGGTGTTGGATGTAGTGACCAGTGTGGAGAGTACAATTGTTCGACGACAAATCCGTCGAATCGTGAAACGCTTGGACCGGAACGCGAACGATATAATTGACCAAGTGAAGGAATCCTTGGAGGAAGAGGAACCCAAACCTCGAATCGAGAGGAGGCCTGAAGGGAAACGGAGAGGTTTGTATCTGAAAGGAACCGAAGAGATCAATGCCGAGAATCTGACGAAAGAAGCGAGTCGATATCCTCATTCCCGTTCAGGTCGAAGCAGGAACCGCTCGAGAGAGGTGGAGAGTTTAACGAGCTTGGCGAGACCGATCCTGAGACAAGTTCTCCGAGCCAAGAGCGGCATTCTCGGTAATGTACAACGTATGTGAAACCCTGTGGGAGGGAACTATAACACACGATGGTCGGCCATTGCCCCATTTGCAAGGTCACGACTGGTGTCATTGTCTTCTCCATCCACCTGCAGGAAACGTTGGGGTGCAAGCGAACATCGACAACGGTAAATGGAACGTGAATTTGAAGATCGGAGGCAGGAAGCCTCCATCCAGAGAAAAGAAGAACGAATTAGGAAAACGGGAGGAGGAAGAGCTCCGCTACCGAGATTCGGATCTCAAGCTGAACACGATGTGAGCATCAAATAGATTTTTTCGCAGAGCAAAGACTTCCCGCGGGGATCTAGATTTCGCCCGGAACCCTGGAAGGGGAGAGAGCGCAACGAACTTCAAATTATCGGACAGATTTTCACGACTCCGGTTTTCAGCGAGGGCGGGAGCCTGAGCTTCAAGAATGGCGTCAATCCATCCAAAGGGAGACTGAACTTCGAATGGCCGAGTGCTGGTGATGGTGAGTCTCGCGAACTTTAGGTCTAAGCCTCGAAAGAAGACGAGGACCGAGATATCTTCTGACCGATGCTTCTCCTCACGTAGTTATACAAGGTCACTTCACCCACACGCCCATAGCGAACCATGCGACCTTCGAAAACGGGAAAATAAATATTGGCACAGGATATCAATCGAGCACCTGGCAACCGCCCTCGGACTACTCCCCAGGTCAAGCCGCGAACGCCGAATGGCTTCGTAAAGGATCCAATGAGAAAGAGGAAGGGGATTGGAGCTTGGAATCTAAAGAGGAAGAAATCTTCGCTCCGATTGCGACAGGAGCCACGACGAGGAAACCCACGGTATGCGATTAGGGTTCTACTTCGAAAAAAAAAACCATCGTCACCGATAACTAGTATTTCGGATTTCGAGACCCGAGTAAGGCTCAAGACTTATTCGAATTTGCACCCAGGCGTCGAGGAAACCTCAGAGAGATCTGAAACGGACGAGGGCATCGAGCGAGTCTGACGCGATTTACGAAGAAGCCGGCTCTTCGGAAGAGAAGTCCCGGAGCTTGAGCGGAACTAATAATCCCGTCGACGCAAATAACTCGAAGACGCGAGACCCGAATCAAGTCGCGACGGTACCTCCCTTGTCCCCACCGGTCTGGACTCCGAAGCCGTGGAGTCTAGACTCCACAGCACCTCCGGCCGTCATCAGAGCTCCGACATTGACCATGGGCCAACCGTCGCCTTCTAGTATGTTGAAGTGGTCGCTCCAGAGCCCACCCACCTCCAACGAGTGGTTCAAATCTGCAGCGAAGCTCCCCGGCCAACTTTCAGATGGATGGACCCCGATTACGAAGAGATTAAATTCGGTCCCCGCTGACTTCAGTACCTTCAGGGGAGTGCCGGGAGATGTTGTCCAGCCAAAAGAGGATCTTCATAGACAGAAAGTTTGAGAAGGAGCGACGAGTACGGGGCTTCGGGACAGAGATTCTGAGCTCGATCCGATTAGCAGGAGATGCGATCACGAGAATGGCGCACAATCCACCGTATCTTCATGCGCCGGAGTGGGCACCCGCGATTTCTTTTCTTTCTTCATGCCCTTGTCCGTTAGTCTGTGCGTGATTCCGGAGTTTTTACGGAATTCGGGAGTGTCTGAAACACGGTTCGAGTTCGAAAGAGAGGGATTGAATTTTTCATTCCGAATGATACAAGTCCGCTGAATAAAAAGTTGTACGGGTCTTCCGCCTATTTTCTCGCTGCGCGACTTGCGTATTTCTATCCTGAGTGGAGACGGCGCGGCGGTGAATCATTTTTCGCCGGCCCCCGCTTGATATCTGAGGTATTAAGGAAAATCATCTGAATGTCAGGAAGAGGGATGAAGAGAGGTAGCTCTCTGGCTTACTCCTCTCCACAGTGGCGAAGGAGTTCATCGACGGTGAGCTAAGCTGGAGCTCCTCCGACGCCAACGAAACTACCGGCAAATTATGAACCATTGGAGGACTAGACAGATGGACCGAATGAGATAGCCAAGAATCCTCCAGATTCATGGTTAGAGCTGCGTCGCATTTCTCGGATGGTGCGGGTGTCAGCCCTTGTGTAGGGTCAGAATGTCAATGACCCTTCGCGTCGTCTGGTCTAATCCTCACAAGGCGTAAGTGAGAATATCCTCTTGGCCACACAGATGTCCTCCGCCTGTGTGCCTCAAGAATCCGGGGAAGACCTCAAAATTGAAGATACCAGGTGGTAGAAAGAAAAACCAGGGGACATCCCAGCGCCCTCGTAGCTCATTGGAGATCTAACACGATACTTGACGAGCCGCGCCGGTGCAGTGTCAGCACGTACTTTTCCCTCTTGCTCTCTCCTCACCGATCATATCTCAGATCTCTCAGCAGAAACGCCTGAGTAGGCGATAGTGGACTCGGGTCAGAAATGAGCGCACCGATTAGCTTGACAAGACGAGAAATCTGATGCAGGGACTTGTGATCGGTCCGCCGCGCCGTCCATCGGTATGTAAACCAGAACTCGGAAGTGGCCGAGCTGCGACATCGACCGCCATTGCTGCGCCCCAAGCACACCGAGGGAAGCGCCAATCTTAAGCTGCCAGACGCTGCGAATCTGCTAGAAAATCACGGCGATGTTTCCTCTTCAGTTGTCATATCGATGCGCCCTCGACAATGATGAGGGCGCAACAAGTTTGGTGCCTTCAAATTACGGATTCTACAGATATGTACAGGCGAAATGCGCTTCCGAATCGAGGTGATTCCGCTTCGGGGTTTTTCGGGCATTTTCCCGTTCAACTGATCCCTGCCGGATCGCCCCAATCGAGCTCTCGGGCCATGCCAGTGAACTGTGAGAAGGGAGAGTCATCTTCGTATCGGCTGCATCGATTCGTGGAGCTATTCCGATGGACCTCACAAGAATCACCCTCTCGCTCCGAGAGATGACACAATATTTCGCGGACGGACCTTAACCTGCAATAATTGACGCAATTTACAAGGAGCATGAACTAGAGAGGAGATGAGGCGGGAACCTCCGCAGAGCGTGACAATGGTGCGATCACGCCTCGCTCGAATTTCTTGGCGAGTCCCCTATTTCTGGGGAAATCTTCTCAAGGAGCCCCTCAATGTGGCTTCTGAGCCCCCTCCTCTCTTCGGATGGCTCCCTTCCCTTCTCTGAACATCGCTCTCAGGGGAAGCTCGCGTGAAAATCGTCAATCATGAAGCGCGTCTACCGGCTCGTCATAGACGAATTCCCTCTTCCCCGCCTCACGGAAAGGGCGAAATCGCGAGAGTCTCATCGTGTTGTAGAGATCGGTCTCGAAAGGGCCCCAGGTCCCATGCCAGAGCTGAAGAGCAGCGAAATTACACGAATGAAGGTTCTTACCGAGAAAAAGAACGTGAGCCACGAGCGCGTGAGATGGCACGACGCACGCGTCATCTTCATAATTTCAAGCTCCCTGCTCATGTATGGAGCGACGTATTCACACCTGGTGTCTTTCTTCGGGGAATACAACAAGGACATTGGAAACTCAGCGTTCGAGTATGGACTCGTGCTGGCCACTTACCCGTTAGCCCAGATGCTCATGGGGCCTTTCGCGACGAAAGTTTCCACGTGGAACATCATGACAGACAAGAACCTGTTGATCGTGTCGCTGTTCGTGGATGCGCTTTTCTGCTCGATGCCGGCTCTGCTGTCTCACTTCCAAGTCGGTAATCGAACATTCCTCTATCTCATGATCGCTCTTCGAATCATTCAGTCGGTCGGTGGTACGACAGGATCGGTGTTGGTGTACATAATCAGCGGAGTGGAAATTCCTCATCTGACGCACATCATGATACCCATCTTGGAGACAGTGTACGGAATGGCCGTAGTCGTGGGTCCAGCGGCCGGTGCAGTGCTCTGCGACTTTTTCGGGTTCGGGGCGCCTTTCTTGACGCTGGGCTTTGTGGAAATGCTTCTCGCTGTCCTCACGATATTCGTGCTGCCCCCCTCTTCAGCCGCGTCGGCATCCCACGGTTCGGCGAAGTTCCGGAAAGCCGTGAAACCCAGCGTCCTGCTCAACATACTCACAACAATAAACACTTTCGCCGTCCTGGCTTACAACGAAGCGACTCTGACATATCAGCTCAAACGTTTCGATCTCTCCAGGTCTGCGAAAGGTCTCGTTTTCTTCTTCCCGGCGGGCGTATACGCCGTGTCCAGTTTGTTCTTCGGCTTCCAGATCAAGCGTTTCTCCGACGCTCGTATAATTGTGATTGGAGGATCTCTGGTGAGCGTTCTCTCCCTGTTCGGACTCGGACCTCTGGTGACGCATTGGCCCAAGCTATGGATTGTCCTCGTCTGTCAAGCTCTGTTCGGATTTGGATTGGGGCCGGCATTCGTTTGCTCGTACCTACACTCGGTCTCCGAGATCGACGGTGGTCAAGAGTCCAAAGAAGCTCTCGCGATTGTCACAGGGCTCATGGAGCCCTCAGTCGCGTTGGGTAATCTGCTCGGTAGCTTGTTCGCCGGCTGGATGTTGGACGCCTTTTCGTATAATGTCGGTGCGGCCTCGAATATGCTACAGATCTTGATAATCACTGTGTTACAATCCGCGCTCGTGATCTATTCTCGATGTAGAGCCAGGAGGAAGGAGGCATTCAACGACGTGATGTGAGAGAAAATCTCATGGGACGTTCCGAAATCGTATCCGATTAGCGAAAAAGCTGGATAGATTCACTCGCTTCAATAGTCATGGTGATGGGCTCCCAAATCGTATCGTTGGGCAGCTCATATTTCCAACCGTTGATCTGCTCATTCCGTGTATAAATATCTCTCTCGTCGGCGCGGCCCTCGAAATTTGAATCGCTGATCCGACGTGAACAGCGGTCCCCATCTCACTTGGGCGGTCAAAATGAGAGCCTTTTGATAAAAATGCAATTTGAGCCATCGCGGACCCGCTCGAGACGAGTTCGAATTCATGGCTGAGAATCAAAGCGTCGAATTTCAAGGCGAGAATGCAATACGACAGAGCGATAGCGGTAGGGTACGCGGAGTCGTAGCTCCCGATGCATTGCACCTCTTCCAAGAACGGGAATTTTTTTTCGATGATGGTCACTGAAGAGGGAGCTCGCGCGCAATCGTTACAATTACGTGTGATAGATGGAGACGCCAAGGCGCGTTTCACTCTAGTTGTAAATAATCTGAGAAGACAATGATCTTGCCGTCAATAAAAAAGTCCTGGTGAAGAATACAATGAGCGAAGATATAGTTTGTAGATATAGTATGTCGCGTCCCGTAAACCGGTAGGTGGACCGCCTCGCCACTGCAGAGGGACATCGTCGCGAGCATCCGGCTCGTAGCGCGGCGTGGGCTGTGCCCTGAAGTTCCGAGCGAATCTCGAAATCACACCAAGTCATGATTCATCGCATCAGCAGGCCGCTATAATTTTTCATTAGAGCGTGGCTGGAAGCGCCCGAATGTCCGATCGTTAGAAATACTCGTTCGCTGGTCCGCATTCATCCGAAGGCTCAGCGAATGAGAAGGGCTGTACCCTAAAAAATCGACTCATTCGTTCGCAGGATTCCGGGATCTCTAGAGCCATCTGTAACATGGTCTCAGGTCCATCGGGCTCGTATGATATTTCTACCATGGAATATTGAGTCCGAAGCGATGTATTGCACTTAACTCTCTTCCCGCCACGAAATATCTTCTCCGCAGATCCCTCGACTGTCCCGTCGACGAAGGAATCTGAAGTAGCTAATTCGATTGCTTGATCTACAGAACATAAATAGATAGGCTCAAGATATCCATATCACTCATCACCCGAGACTCTGACTGCGTGGTGATTCGTTGAGATCGCCAGATCAGCTCCTCTGACGACCCACGAGTCTTCCGGCCACGCCGCTTACAATTAAAGCGGTGTAGCCGTGAGACTACCGGAGGATGATATAATCCTCCCGGAATCGAACCGAAAACGCTGGGGAGTCCCGTCAGTGTGGAAATCGGACTCATGTCCGGGGAGAGTCATCATGGTTCATGAGACGGAAGTCGGATACATCTCCGTACACCGAGATCCCGCCGCACGGCTCTCGACTCATTCTTTCTGAGCTTGTCTTGGAAAAGCAAGAGTTCTTCGAGTGCTTGTTTTGAGCTCTGCCCTCCCGCCCGTGAGAGTGGTGACCCCTCACTCTCGCGTAGGGCTCAGGCCAGAGCTCAAGTCTCGCTCGCCATCCCAGCTTACCGTCGTGATTCGGACACAAGGAGCAATCTCGGAATTGACTTAAAGACGTGTGTTGCCATGTCGGCCGCTGCGGGGATCTCGAAGGAACTTCAACAGGGTGATGTGAGTTGCGCGGGTAAATTTTCCAAAAGCTCGATTCCAGCTGCTTGTCAGGAAGTCTCAACTGCGTGCCGTGAGCGAGCCAGCGCCCGAGATCATCATCCCTGTGACAGTATCTTTCCCTCTGGATAGAGTGGCGCGATGGCAGGCTCGCGTTAGCGGGCCCGCTCGAGTGTCACGACCGAGCATCCAGCTCGAGGGATTGTAATTCGCGAGTCATTTACTCCAGCTCTTCCGAGAGCTGAGCTCATCCAGAGTAGCCCAGGACGGCAGGAATATCTGTGAGCTGAAATGCTAGCCAATGCTCGGAATCGTACAGGCTATCTCTAACCGTTCTCGGGTTCTCGTATCAATGAGGAGCTGGATTGCCCCCGGGATTCATTATCAGCGGTCGTGCTTCCCATGCTTCATGTTCTTCCTGAGCGAGCGATCTCTCTTCATCAACGCTGTGACATGGCAGGTCCCAATGCAATCGAGCGGTCGAGGTATTTGAAGAGAAGGTTTATTAATTTCTCGTCGGGTGGGAGCGAGTACCGCTTGACAGAGAAAAAAACGGTCTCGAGAGACCCTCACCGAGCATGTGGCGATCCGGTTGTGTCATTCCAAGCGACAGGAAGCTCACCGACGAGAGTGAGAACCTCTGAGCATCAAGCCCCAGAACAGGTTGCCAATCCAATCTTCGGAGAGGGCACGAATTCCTTCCCGCTCTGGTGCCGTTCACCTCGAGTTTCCCATCTCCGCATTTCCAGCCGTCAGAGTCGAGTGTGTCATTCATCATGTAGTCCGGAAATTTTTACGTTTTTTTTGTTTCGCTTCGAAACAAGTGACTGAGCTGCGTCTCTTAATAATTGTGAAGGACGGAGGCTCGAGGCGACTTCTCTGAGTGCCACCGAACACCCGAGAACGAAATAGAGGTGGAACTTGCTCTTCTAACAGTTCAGGATTTCTGTAATGGCTCTAAGAAGGGAAGCGTCGTAGCACCTCCCGGCAAGGCATTCGCCGATTCTTCATCCGCTCAAAAATGTGATCGTCAGACGAGCTCGTCGCAAGTAAAGCTGTATTCTGAATAAGCCACGCGAGCCCTTATGCCGTACGAGATCATCGCGCGAAATGTTATTTCGGAGACATCCTGTTCTTAAAGCTAATTCTCATATGCGGATCTACAAGAGATGACCCGGAACGTGACCCACACCTACGATTTATATAATTCTCCAAGAAGTCCTACGAGATCCTGCCACGCGACAAGTTCGAGCCCTTAGATGACGACACGAGAAAGGGCCCTTCTCCCTGGCTTATCCACTCACCGGTCTTCTTATTCCTTAGCGGTCATCGTGACTGGTCACGTGGAGACGCATCATCGATGGTGAACTTTCATTCATCCATCGATACGGACTGATTAAGGGCTGTGCTCATGTCAGGGATGTCTCAGGGAACCTTCTCATTAATTATTTCCACGAGAGAAGGTCGTCATGACTATGTACAATGTATTCATGCGTGGATAATAATTTCTCTTTCGCACAACGTGTGATAAACATCGCTGGAGACATATCACTCGACTCATCCTGCCTCGCGTGTCCCGTTATCAAGATCAACGTAGTGTGCCGCCGCTTTCCTATTTGCCTCATCAACCGGAACGTTTCCCAGCTCTGCCAAAAATTCTTGGTGACGCTATTCCGCCTGCGCGAGGACAAAAACATTACTGTCGAGTTTTCTACTGCCAAGCAAGACCTCTAGTTGCTCTTGATGGGTATGACTGCGGCAAGCAGCATTCAGGGCGATCACGATCACAGTACGCGTAATGCTCAAAGCACGCTGCGAAATCTGAAAGGATCCCGGCGATTGCGTTTCCAGGCCTCCGGACGGCAGAAAGCCACGGTGGAGTAGAGATTCCCGTGAGCTCAGTGAAACTTCTCCGGAACGGGCTCGCGTGGGTGCATGCGGCCGCGGTGGACTTCTGAATTATCATACTTCATTCCCCCACAGCGCGACAGCAACAAGGAGTCGAAAATACTCTTGTGGATATATGCGTGCCTGGATGAGGTCAGCAATACCGATTATGACCAGTACCTCAAAGACGGCGTCGCATTGTGCCAGTGAGTTGTCCTGACTGATTGTGGAGCACCGATTGGGGAAAATATATCAATTCGATCAGAGGTCTCGAATAAGGAGGGGTTGCTAGAAGTTTAAACCCAGAAGCTGCATACCATTAACAGTACACATACAGATGATCTCTACGGATGAATCTATCTCGATCCGCAGTCTCATGAATTTCCTGCAGCCCGGTGCGGTGCCAGGCGCTATCGAGTCCGGGACGGACCACAAGACGAAGCGCGTCAACATCGTTCACTTTCTTAGGGCAGTTCAGGCATACGGTGTCCCGCGGGACCTTCTCTTTGAGCCGGAAGATCTCCTTTATCTCAGACACGTCCCAAAAGTTACTCGTTGTTTGTACGCTCTGGGGAAAGCGGTGAGTGGCTGCGAATAGAACGGTAGCGAAGATGTTGCGTCTCCCCGAATCAATGGGCACGCTCGAGCGGCAGACTTGTGGAACCTGAACTCTATGCATTTTCAGGCCGAGTCCAAGCCCGAATATACTGGACCGAAACTTGGGGAAGAACCGGACGACCCTCTCAATATGGCAACACAGCGGAGGGCTGGTATGCCGGTCGGTAAGTTGAGGAGGATCCCTTTCAAAGAATCCGTATCCTCCAGCTCCCGACATGATTCGGGAAGGAGAAGCACCCGGAAACACCGAAGAGCAGATATCTCGAAAAAATCGAGCCATTATTGGCATTTCAGGCGACGATATCTACGTTGCACACGTAGATATAAGAAGCAAAATTAAACGGTTGAAGCAACAGGAAGAGGGTCACGTTCCGGCGCCGAAGACTCTTTCGCTTTACCGTTGAACGTCAAGTTCAGACGACGACTTCATTCGATCCAGTCAGCTTGCCTCGGAAGCTCGCAAGTAAATCTGCCGCTGTATTGCCCAATAAAATGTTGATTTTCACTGAATCTTCATGTTGCGCCCATCAGTTCCGTCTCGAGCGACTGATATCGCCCAAGACGCTCGTCGCGTAGATGCCCCTCTTCCGGATGCCCGACGGCAGAAAGCTTCGTTCCGGTCCCTCGTCGGTATCGGTGTAGCCTCGAATACTGTAGGTAGGGTAAGTTTCTATGCTCCCGTCCGGTCCGACCAATCTCTGAAGCCGGTCAAAGTTCTGCAAATCTTCAAATTTATTCCCGTGGGAAATTAAGGGTTTCCGAATGGAGTATGAGGGACGGGAATGTGTTCGGACCGTTTTATATCGTGTAGTAGTCCATTGATATTCCATAGTAGTCCATTGATGGAGCTGGAGCGAGAACTTCCGCAGAGAAGCAAGCTCCACGAGATCCAGAGCTGGAGTTCTCAGGCGAAGAAATCATCGCATTTTCAGGTCGTACGAGGGTATAGCCCCAGATGCCGGTCTCACAGATGCCGGTCTCCCGGAGGCTCTATCTTCTAGCCATCGGAACGGCTTCAAAAGTAATAGCGAGAAAAAGAGAAGATGGATAGCGAGCCTTTCGAGAAAAGGAAAAGGACACGTAACCGCAGTGCTGTTCGGCCTTTTAGCGTCTCCGCCGACGGCTGGAACCGCTTCCTGTGTCGTCCGAGAGCTCACCACTGACCGAGCGAGAGAAACAATCTTCATGCTGGTTCTTCGGAGCGCCCCCGAGGAATCGGATATGGATAGAGGGGGGGTGGGAAGAAATCCCATAATTCAGGCGTAGGGGAAACGTTTATTGGAAGCCTATGGTTAAGATCATTTTAATTCAAACCTGGGAACTGTCTCTAGACTCTTGGAAACAGTCCCTGGATTTTCCCCGATTATCGGGGAATCCGCCCTATCGAGGGGAGCTGCTGAACGATTTTATTCAACGATGTCGGCTTCGACGTAGTCCTTGTCGGAGAAATCACAAATCAACTTCACTCGCCGTCCCCGCATGATAGGTTCAGTGCGTGGGGGGGATTTCAATGAGTACTTCCTGAGAGCCGGTCTTTCCGCCTGGATTTCCTCGGGACACTCGTAAACCGCCGGAACTGCCTTGACGCCGACTTGGAAAAGAGAACAGCTTTAGAGCCGGGGTTCTCGGCGCACGAGCTCGGGCCTTACAGAACGAGAGGACATTCTCTGTTTCCCATGATCCTCACAATAATCCAGGAGGTCCACCGATACTCCATTATGAGTGATCTCCGAAACGAGACCCCGTTGGAAATCCACGCCATCGTCGTCGACCACCAGAACTATCTGGAACGACATAAACACAGGGAGTGATTTTGAAGGGGGACCCGATACCAATTAGATACTGCACCTGGTTGTCGCGACAGGATTATAGATGACGCTTGGTCGGCGAGCATCAGAGACTCACCGTGTCCAGGGTGAGATCCTCAATATCGATCAGACTGAACGAAGCATCATCATAACGGTAGATCATAGCTCGAACTCTTTTTCGCTGGTATAGATCTTCTCCCATGAACAACATGGGGGAAAAAACGAGAGAAATCTATCGGAGATCGAGAGCAGAATACTTAATTTCCGCTCGCTCCTGCATCTCCGAGCAACAAGCGCCGATACTTGAGCAAGCTCGAAACTACGGGCGGATCGAATGTGCCATATTAACACAAATATGAACTCGAAGGAAGGATATAAGAAGGAAAGTCCATTGATCTCTCACCCGCACGCTCGAGTATACTTCGTCGGAGGCGTTGAGGTTGGGATGTTCCACCTGCGAAAAGTCCCCTGCGTCAGTCCGTCTCTATTCTTAATTCTCAGGAAGAGCGACTATAGAGCGTGTTTCTCTTGGGAGGCTCCATGTCCGGAGCTCACCGTCGTTTCGAGCTCTCCGTTCTGCTGTGGTTCGTCGATTTCCTCCTCTTTGTCGTCCCATCTGTCGGCAGCGTCTTCATGAGCGTCATCACCTTCTGGAAATACAGTCCGCATGATCGTCTTCGAGGGCACCTATCTTCCCACGATACTTGGTAGACTCGCTTCGCGTGGGACGGAGCCCGCCTGTCGAGAGCGGACACGAAAAGGTGGGTATTCCCCCAGGTCTTTATGTATGACAAGTGCAGAAAGGTGAGCGATCTCTCAGGTCTATTCCAACGAGCAGGGCTCGCTGGGAGCGATGGTCGCGCTAATGTTCGCGAGGCACCTGCCCATAGAACCCATGGGTAGTGATTCGGTGGAAGGATGACGGGAACGCCAACGGACTCAGACGCGACGGATTCATTCCCGCCACATTGGTCTATTCGGATGATTGGACCGGACCCTCGCTCTGTATTCGCGCTCCGGTGAAGGGCTAGGGAGCAGATTCATACTCTCTGGACGATCCTACGAAACGAATGTCGAAAAGATACTCCTCGACATCCTTTCTCCATTCCTCTCCTACTCCTTGGCATTCACCTTTCACAATTCTTCCGGTGGCTCATGATGCATAGTGACGCACTATCGGATGAGAGCCCGCTTAGATTCCCGGCAATCCCACGCCACCGAATGCATCTCCTTATCAGATATCCGAATGGGACTTGAATGATCTGATCAGAGAATATTGAGAAGCGTTTGCGAAACTCTTCCACGTAAGATTGCTGGGCTAGAGAATGGAGCCCATTGACATTCGAAATTCCAGAGAGCTCTCAGAAGGGAATCATCCCCACAAGATCCCTCCCACTATCGGCATGCTGGCGATTCACATATGATGCCTTGCGAGATTAGAAACGAGATTGTGTGCCACTAGAATACCAGCTACGATTTAGGAGAACAATATCAGACGGTAAAGACATCTCCAAGAGGAGCACGATGAAGCTCTCACCCATTTTCAGCGAGGACGTAGAAACAATGAACGAAATACGATTGAGAGCCTCACTATGCTCCAGAAGTTTCCCAGGCTCAATCCGAACCAGCGAGCTGTTTCTAATCCATGTGACCGAAATCCAACGGACTTTTCGGAACGTTGCACTCTTTCCCCGATTCAACGTTCGAAACTTTCTCTTTGGCGCCTTAGAAGCCGTGTGCATCATCTCGAGAGGATAGCACGCGGCGCCGAGAGGAGCGCGTCGAATTACGCCGCGAAGTATCTACCACTCATAAGCGCCGACACACCTGAGTTCACTGTCGCTGGAAGGAATCGACGACGAGCATATTCTACGGTTTCTCCCATCGCTCGCGACAGACACAGTAGAATCCCGGGTAGGTGCCCGGGGGAGTCTCCGACGGTTTTTCCAGATCGATATACATCAGCTTTCATCCTCAGTCATGCCGGAGATTTGGGAAACACATTTCGCGTGCTATGAAGGGAGCAACAACTGTCACAGTTTCGATTGTCTGCGGAGTCGCGGCCCATCATGAGAGGGCTCTCTCGAGACACCTCGAAGAGGCGAGGGAAGTATTCGTCACATTGAGAAAAATAAGGATGTTTATTCTCGAGTCAAAGTTATCGTATCTTTCGCAGAGCAGAACCATTCCGTGACCATTTATCACATACACACACTGAGTGTCCGAGCAGCATGATCGATCGCGATATCTGAGGTGACATAAGTTGACATGGCCGGCATTCACTATGAGCTCCGGCGAGTAAGAAAACAGCATCGAATCTTCAGGCCTCGGGTATCAGGTCTCTCGGGTACGGCACGAGCTCGTCTCCTGAGACGCTGATCATGCTAATCGGAAACCCCTCTCGAGACTTCTTATCGCCGACGTTTTACATATCTGCGAGTCCAGGCATGAAGAACTTGCCGGCGAAGGCTTCGACCTCCTTCCGCTTGGTTTCCAACTTCGACCGGAATGGTTCGACCTCGAGCTTGTCTTTGAATTCTTTGAGTTGAGTCGTGGTGCAGGAAGCCTTGACCTCCAAGGCGAGCTCGACGCCGTTGTGGATTAATTCCGCGACGCGTTTGATGTCTTCCTCTTTGAGCCCTGCGCAGAATAAACCGTGTCCGGTCACTCCGGTCCTCCAGGCCAAAGATTCGTAGAGCACCGGGCTGTACCTACGTCTTCCATACAATTTAATCCCAACCCACCTCTCGTAGTTAGCGCTGGTGTTCCGAGACGGATACCTCCCGGGTTCATGGCGGACTTATCGCCTGGTACGGTGTTCTTGTTGCAAGCGACCGATATTAGCTCGAGGACTCGTTCGACCCGAGCTCCGTTGACGCCTTTCGGTCGGAGATCCACCCACACGATGTGATTGTCGGTCCCATTTGTTACGATTTTGTACCTGCGGTTCGAGGCAATCGTTTAAAGCCTCCTCTTATCCCTGAAACTTACTATTCTCTGTGGGTTGGATGAAGTTCGTCGAGCTCGACATCGAGCAGCTCGAGTACGGACCCTTTCGACATCAATTCCTTTGCGAGGGTCTGCGCGTTTGCCACAACTTGTCTTTGGTATTCCTGGAACTCGGTGCTCGCTGCTAGCTTCATAGCGACCGCAACGCCAGCAATGGCATTGTTGTGAGGGCCTCCTTGGAGTCCGGGGAACACGCTAGCGGTTATGCGTTCTTCCAAATCGTACATCGTTTTGTTTCCCTTGGCGTCAATCTACACGAGGAAAATAGAGTTAGGCTGACCATTAGACGACGCATAAAACAGGCCGAGAGCGCCGGGCAAAAACGTATGGTGTTCTCGAGCACTTACACTGCGAACGCCTTTCCTGTAGAAAATGACGCCCGACCGCGGACCTCGCAGAGTTTTGTGAGTAGTTGAGGTTACGAGATCGCAGTACTCGAATGGATTAGGACCAATTTTAGCCGCGACAATGCCAGATATGTGAGCCATGTCGGCCAAGAGGTAAGCGCCGACGGAATCGGCAATTTGCCGGAATCTCCTGTTTTGGCAATTTCATGATTTAGCGCGAAAGATTCCGACCAACGAGTCAAAGCAGTGATTTCCCGACTTCGGCCGGAGCGAGGATCTTTTGCTAGCTTCGTCGGAATGATCGGAGGTTTCAATGAGACCGTACTTGTAGTCCAAGTGCCTGGGATAGCACGACACGCCGGCGATGATCAGCTTCGGCTTGAACAGGAGGGCTGTCTTCTGGAGCATGTCGTAATCGATGAGACCTGTTTGAGCATCGACCTTGTACGGCATCGACTCGAAGAAAATCGACGTGGCGGAGATCTTCTTCTTCTCGGTGAAGAATCCGTGGGTCAAATGGCCGCCATCCGGGAGATCCAGACCCATGATCCGTCCATGGGGCTCTACCACGGCGGTGTATACCTACAGAGACATAAATCCTTTCCAGTCAGCTACGATAAGCGAGGTCATTCAAGCGAATCTGAACGAAGGGAGTGAGTCGGAGAGGTGGACGTATACTACTTGCGGTTACCTCAAAATTTGCTGGAGACCCCGAATAAGGCTGAACGTTAATTCCCCACTCAGCGGGATTGCAACCATAGGTTGAGAGAGCTCTCGTTTGGCAAAGAGTCTCGATCTGATCGATGAACTCGTTCCCTCCATAGTATCTCTGACCAGGGTAGCCTGAGGATTCGTGTCACATATGAATTCTTCGCCGGTGGACGATACAGTAGAGACTATCCCGCAGATGATCGACTCGAACATTATATGTATGTAGAAGCGCTGAGAATATTCAACAATGACTTGCCTTCGGAATATTTGTTGGTCAGACAGCTACCGAGACACTGCGTTACCGCAAGAGATGTGAAATTTTCTGAAGCGATCATCTCAAGACCAGTACATTGACGGTGTTTCTCTTTCTTTATCAAATTCGCAATCTCTGGATCGACATCCGTCAGCTGGGAAACCATCGAAGACGACATTCTTAAGCCTGCAAGGCGAACACGCGGATAAGAAAACGAGACTCAAGTCGTTCCGAGCTCGGACAGCGCTCTACTGAGATTCCCCGCCGTCATCGAAGCTTCCTGGGACGCGCTCGATTGTAGTCGGCTCATTCTCAAGCTCGGTCGTTCAGCATCAAGTCTCGAGGATCAATCACTGAGCTTGTTTCAACGATCGGGGGAAGCACCCTGTTATTAGTCGGATAAGGGTCAATGCTACAAACCAGCGATTTTTTTTCCTGCAGATCGCAATAGCAAGTGTCTGATAGAGTCTGGGGTCAACAGTGCTTTCAGAGCCATCGTTCACAGAAAGCAAATGTTCTCAACAGACGAACAACTGGAGGAGTCACCCACAAATCGGATTGGAGTGATCTGACCGATGGCACTCACTCCTGCTCTCGGAAGGGCACCTTACTTTTGAGAGACGATAATTCTTCAAGCAGGCGCGGACTCAACACGGACAAGCGAGATGAAGCTTATCGGGACTTTTAGGGGCAACTCGACGTAGCGTCTGCTTTTGTGGCTCGAGCACTCCGCGACCGCCGAAAGGATGAGGAGGATAAGATTATCCACAGCACGATAAGATTGCTATCGCTCTCTGATACAAGAGCTCTGTTATGAGCGCGACGAGATGAGCGAGATTTTAGATTAGATATTGACGCAATGAAGGGAAGGTCGCGGCTACCTTCCAAATACATGATATCTCGTCACTGCATCGCGAAGAATGTTGACTCCGCCTGGCGCGCCTTCCGAGGGTAGACCGATTTGGTTTCCAATCCGAATCGGACAATGATCGTCAAGTAGTCATCAAATCACAGAGGGGGATGCCCGCGGGGGGAAGTTCGCCAGCGACGACGTAAGATGGAAGCTGTGCGTCGCTCATCGTTTCTTCCCAAACTCCATCTCGGAATCCTACTGCTTGACGAAGATCACGCGATGCAAGACGATTCGATGAGGGACGAATCATCATGAGGAGGAGATTCATCACAAGAGCTTCGAAGAAGATCGACGGCCTCTACGACATGGGAGTCGAAGTATTCGAGCTCGACGCGAAACTTACCTATGCAGAGTTCGGAAGACGAATCTTGGACTATCGGCACCTGTGAATGAAACAGAATATTTACATTGATTCGAGCAAGACTTTGGCATTTTCGCACCGGTACGAGATTTTCTGCGGAGACGATCCTTTCGCCGATATGGTCGAGTGTCGTAAGGTGAGACAATGAAAACAATACTGAGCTCGCTCAGCGAATCTCGGGTTCCTGATTGGGGGAAGGGGAACGGCAGATCGAGCGTGACCCTGATCTTACGCGCCGAGGCATGTTACCAAAGAGAACAGGGAACAGAGGTCAACTGCGCCAAAGCACGAGGATCCGCAGAGGACTGCTCCGTATGAGATCCTCGAGCGGAGGTGAACAAACTCCGTGAGACAATACATAGGTAGTAGGGGGGAACTCTAGGCGTTCCCAGTGCACGCTGAATATATCGCCCCAGATCCGTCAGGAGCTTCTGGACTCCGGTACCGAGCCAAATAAGAGTCTCATGCTTATCTAGGAGGCATGTACACAAGATGACAGGGACTCGCCAAAAGGTTGAGATCCAGTTTTTTTCCTCTCGCCGATCAATCGACAACGGACTCGGTGAAAGAGCATTCCTAGTCACGCAACACCTGGTCACTGCGTCCGGTACCGTCGGACAGTAACGAGACGTCGTCGATCAATCCGCGGTCGTCAAAACGGTCCCTAGAACGTACCCGACTCAACCGCGCAAGCTGTATGAAAAGCCTCTGCATTTCGGAGATGGAGCGCGCCTCTTTGACCGGGAGAGGACACCTCTGTTATCGTACGAGGGAAGTTCGAAAGAAGGCGCTGAAAACGATCCACAGAATCAGAGAGGTTCCCGAACTCCGCAAGAGCGGCGGGCTAGAGGGCTTCATCTTCACAGGAGTATGCAGGACGGTTTGTCCGAGAAGCTCCCCACATTCGAATTGTGGACTCGGCGAGAATAGAACATAGAACTCTCCGAAGATGCGACTGAATGAGCAGCGAGCAGTGGGGATCTTCATGACGTATCGAGGACAGCTTATCGTCGCCCGCGTGCACGGCAGAAGAATCAGTGATTCTTATCATATAGGAGACCAAAAATACGCATCGCTTTGGGAACTCGTTCCTGGGAAATGAGACACGGCTGACTTGCAGCGGCTCCGAATCCACTGATACTTCCCTAATGGCGGGAAACCTTACTCGGACGTGGAATACGCGGCTCCTAGCTGCAAATCGATTTTTCGCGGTCGGAGCGACATTCTACGCAACACGCTCAAGGATTTTCAGCTCCCTCAGAGATCTTCTCAAGAAGACCCCATCCGTTCTTCATAATTGTCAATCGTTGGATGGACCGCCATGGGGGGCATTTGGCACCACTGGGAGAACGTTCAAGCGTGCCCCTCCCCCTCGATCGCTTCCCCTGTCGGGTTTTCGTTTGACCGAATTCTTCCATGGGAGCGGGAACTTCGTTCTCCCTTTTCTTCGTGTTTCCTGCTCCCTGAGGAAAAGGACTACGGACTGAATCGATTTTGCCCGAGGATATACACTCAAATAGAATTCTTTCGCAGGAGACGTTTAATCGATAAGAAGCAAAACGTGCAACGATTCGTCGGATCATGACTCTTGTGTTCCCGGAGCACGCTGACAATATAGCTTGGCATTAAGTAGCCCGCCTGCGACTGCGGAACTCGTTTTCCGCTTCTTTTCGGACATCAACTCGTCCCGGCGGGGATAGGGGTAGCTTTGAGATTAGTGAAGACGAAAGATATGGGAGTGCTTGCACTAGACAGCATATATATTGGGCGCAACAGTTTTCAATGCTTCATAACTCTTCCTTTACATAACTCTGAGCAGGGCCGTCTGCCGTTCACAACCGGCTGGGTATCTCTTTGAGAGAACTGGTTATAGTTTCGGACTTCCAGTAGCGGCTTGATAGTTCTCAATGGTTCGGAACAGCTCACGAGACATTCGTATTTGTCAAGCTGGTTTTCACAGCATCTGTCGGTGCTGAAGCCTCGCATGCATTTTTCTTCCTGGGCCACCAGAGACAGGAGACGTCGCTGAATTTTTCCGTCAGATGCCGCGACAGCGTCGATTCGAATGATTGTGCGTACTGGCTTGTCGGTCCAGGTCAGTCTTCGTTCGGAAACTTTCCAGGCAGAGGGCGCAGCGAGACTCCTTCCTGGACCGCAAGGTGAGCTCGGACATTATGGTCTGATTTGAAAGCTTCGTCGCAACCCTCGCGCCAATCGGGAGCGAGTGGATGACGCGCGCGATTTATATGACAAAAGAGATTCGATGTTTGCCGGAACCCAGACCACGTTCGTCGCATTCATGGAGGATGAGTTTTGCACGGATTGACAGATGGGGATTTTCGCGTGTGACGTGACGAGGAGGTTTCTCGGCGGAGCTCGCATCGGAATTTATCCATAAGGAGCTCGGAGGGAGCCTGTCGCTCGGTACTCGGTCTTTAAGGGGAACTTGGACGGATCAGTGGGCCGAAGGATAGATCTGCTCGTCTTGACTCCGGAGACCCTGCAGGTATCGCACGATCTCGGCGAGTGCTCGAGGGTCAACGCCGCTCTCCAGTAAGCGTATGCAGTAGTGCAATGAATGCTGATCTAGATTCGTATTTAACAATTGCGATATCTCCATCACCAGCGCGAATACGTCGGCATCGCGGCCTCTGCTCGACGTCGCCATCAAGGCGCTCGACGTCAAAATTCGATGAACTCCAGCGTAAGTAATCAGGGAGGGCGGTGCGGACCTCGAGACAGGGAGCAGGGGGGATCGAACTTTCAAGATGAAGAGAACCTTCCGATACACAGGGTAATAAGTCTCGACGGGCTTCCAGGCGCTTTCCGGCTGTGCTTAGCGATCATGATAACGACGAGGAGCGCCAATCGACACACTCCGATTTGGGCGCCTGGGTGGGATATTGATGGGTTCTCCCTGTGAGGCGATCGCTGATCATCAGGGATCACACATCACACTTCTGAGTCTAGGAGTTGCCTCCATAGGGTACCGCGCTCCCTAAATTCACAAAAATTCGCGTTCCCGACTCAACGGTGGGTGAGAGCGAAAAAGCGAAGCTCCCATGAGAGTCGGCGGCCCATCCGGAAATCCTGATCAGGACGGTGGGAACGGTGTTCCTTTGGAGGGATGACGGAAGCCCTATCTATAGTTATTCAGCACGCACCGTAGGGAGCAGAGCAACGCGGTGGAAGGAGTCGTCATGAGATGTACGGGGGCCAATGGTCCCGTAGGGAAGACGCGAATGAACCCTGACGCTCTCAACCGGAACGAGGGATCATCCTCCACCCCGAAGCAAAGCCGAATAGAGGAGTTACGGGAACCGTGTTTCTGTTCCCTTGTCTCCCGCGCACGAGAGGCCAGGAGCCCAGAGCTGCCGCAGGCAGTCGGAAGGAATTTGGAGGGAAATTAGACGCCTCTTCTGGTCGATAAGAGTCGGACAGTCGAGTCCAAATGTAACGCCGATTCTGGCAGTATTAGAAACCGTATTTCTGATCGATAGTAGTTTCCGGAGAACCAGAGGCGAGGAGCCTGAAGCTCTTGAATTAACTTTGCCGGACTCCGGGGAAAAAAGAGATGCTATTTCTTGTTGATTACAATTGGACACATTGGCGTGCTACCCCATGGTACCGCCCGGGGCGGTCAACGAAAATTTTCATTTTTCGGACGCGATCAACCAAAATGCCGCCCCCTGTCCGAATATTTTTCGCGAGAAATTAGGGAAATTTTCACGAAAATACCCGTTTCTTTTTAATGTCTATCTCGAAATTGCCGGCCCTCGGAAGTGCCGCCCGGGGCGGACCCCCCCCCCGGACGCACGCTACTGATTGGACAGTAGAATCCGGTTCCAGTGACAGACTGGAACTGGTACCAGGGAGCATACTGATGCTGCGGTTAATACACGAATCAGGGAGAAAGTCCGCGGGACAGAGCGTAATGCCGATATTTAACCCGGGTGGGCCCGGAAGTTATGCTCCTCGGACTCCTGCTGTGGAAACGGATGACTTCCTGTCAATGTTCCAACTCCTCCCCGTACCATCGTCGCCGGTGTTCTCTGTCAATCTCTCCTCGAATGTCTCATTTTGGAAAGGGGGAGAATCCTCATGCATCTGAAATCCTGATTCTTCAGCCGAGTCACGGAAAGATACTCAGTCAGAGCGCCTAATGAGAATCAATCACATGTGAAGTACGTGAGCGAATCCCGCGCGGGCGTTTTTCGAAAGTCGAGCGGTCAGACTTGAACGGAGAGTCTTCGGGAGAGGAGGAAATCGAGTGTGTCATGCAGCGCCGCCATCAACAACGACGAAACGACGGTCGGCCATCGATTCCATCAAGCGGGCTATCATCCATCCAGAGGAGAGCACCACCAACACAAAAGCTTCTGGTAGTAGTGGTGGCCGACGACGATCGTTGTTGTATCCAGTAGTAGTTGGTTGATTGAGCTAAAGTTTATTGTGTTGCTCCGATGTGGTCCGGGAATCGCTGGAAAGCAGCCGTCGACCGAGTGGAGGACTGAGTTCTGAAGGGAACTCGTCCGGGAAGCTCTGGGAGGCATTTGTGGATAGTACCCGCCGACAACGACGACAGTCTAATCGTGTTTTCTTTGGCAACCCCAACTATACGTGATTATCCGTAGACTAGCCGAAGAGATTTATGCGTCGGCTGCTGATGCTTCAAGCTCGGTTTGCTGAAGTCCTCTCACCGCTGAGCTTGCGATGAAGGCTCGCCCTCGGAGATCAGGAATCAAGGCTTTCCGTACCTGAAGCTACTATCATGGGTCATACAAGAAAGAACCACAACAACAGAGACAGCAACAACAACTTACTGCGAACCGGGAAGAAAAGTGAACAAGAGTTCCCTGTTTGATTCATCTGGAAAGATTTCGGACGTTTAGGCGGAAGAGATGTGTGATTGAAGTCGAAGCGTAGGGGCTAATATGATGATGCAGCCAATGAATTCATCGCACCATCCACCTGCAGGAGGGGCCCAGTGCCCCCCTCCGCAGCCTCTTCCGGCTCCTCTCGCTAACGCCCCTCCTCAGCAACCATCCACTTCACATCTGAGAGGTTTGTATGTCAACGATTTTCCGCTACATCCATCACGACTGGGCAACCGCGGGTCCGGGATCGGAGCGCGGTCAAAGAGCTAACTGTCACGGTTTCTGACCCTCTGGCTCTTTCGATCTGTCCGGAATACAATGTATTTGGCTATGCCCTGCGCTCATGGGAACTATGAACCACAGATGGGAATTTGTCAGAATCATTCGACACCGGTGGAATGTCGAATACGTCGGCTCCGTCGGACGCTCTATCTGCAAGCTCGTTCTTCCATTCACATTTTCTCCCGCCCACAGCCGTGCTGAGTCAACGTATCAAACTTCTGCAATGCCAGCTGCAAGCGTCGCCACAGCTTTCATCCCCGGCAGCCGGCCAGCCAGGGTCGAAACCCTCTCGGCAGCTGCCCTGTATAGAAGAGGCTTGGAATATTCCAGTCTCACAGGAAATGGCCTCGCGGCAGCAGAGTCTACTGCAAAGAGGCAGTTTCAATGCAGCTATACAGAGATCGTTTGCCGGTCAGGTAAGCTCCCACAGCTCGCAGAGTTCGAGGAAGCGCTCATACGGTGCTTCCATGGGTAATCGAAGATTAGCCCGCACCATGCAGGTGTTCTAATACATCCGTTGTCCACAGGGCCAAAACAACAATCAAGCTTACAGCTCGAACGGTATGAACGGTCCGATGAGCAATGGCACGGACAAACCGGCTTTTTACCTCTCTGGTCAGGAGATGCAGGTGCGTTCGGTACCGAATTAGGTACAGGAAGTATATTCCATGGAAATAGGTAATCGTGAATAATTGCGAGTCTGACCGCCTCTCTTTCCCCAACCAGGTTCTGCAGCAGCTCCAAGCGAACGCAACGAACCTCATACCCCAACAACGGAATTTGTTGTTGACGTTACAGAATCGTCATAGATTGATGATGCAGCATAAGACGCAGGTGCAGCAGCAACAAATGCAACAACAAATACAACACCAATATCAACAGCAGCAGCTGCAGCATCAACAGCAGCAGTTGCAGCAGCAACAACACCAGCACCAGCAACAACAAAATCAGAACCAGCAGCTGATTTCGCCGCAACAACAGCAGATCCAGCAGCAACAACAACAACAATCTTCGCAGCAGCCAACGCCTCAATTGCAGCAATCGCAACAATCTCAACAACGAAAGCAAAATCAGGGGGCCGATGAGCGATCACCGCAAATGCAACGGCAACCATCGCCGAAACAGAGTCACAACGAAGTGGCATCGTTGCCGACGACGGTCACCTCCAACGCAGAATCAACACCTGCTCCCACGACTGCTTCGTCGACATCGTCTACTTCGGAAGGCGGGTCGGCGGCGCCCGCAATGTCGACGGCCACCTCGACGACGACGACAAGCCCTCCAGCGATAATCACGTCCACAACGAGATCGAGTCCCCTGTCATCGACGGCGGACGGGAACTCGGTGGCGACAGCACCGACGGGAGCGTCGGGTTCCCCATTGCCCACTGCTGTCGTCAAGACAGAAGTTGTACCCAGTAACGGTAAAGCACCCTTCGCAGTCCCGCAGCCCCCTGAAGCGAGCTCGATTCTAGTGAATGGGGTAAAAGAAGAGGCGGTCGCATCGACAGCGTCGACGACATTGAGGGACGAAACTCCGAAAACGAACGACATCGAAGAAATGGAGGTCGACAGCAAGGAGGCCGTCATGAAAGAAATCGTGAAGGAGCGAATGGGGAGCGAGGCGGCTTCGAAAGCTCCCCTCTCCGAAAGCCTCAAGAGAGACGAGAGGAACGAAAACACAGCAGGCAAGGAAAATTCTCTCCGAACTCCCCACACGACCGGCAGTAAGAAGGCCGACAAGGACGAGGAGATGTCCAGTCACGACGAAGAAGAGGAAGACGACGACGACGATGAGGAAGACGACAGCGATGAAGACGACGCACGAGGCCAAAGCCTAAGAGAAATTGATTTAAATTTGTTGTTACGCACAGCCCAACCATCGATGACTTGTCGAACATTTTCGGATCCGTTTTCTCAACAATTTTCCCAATCAGACGAAGTCGATAACGACGAGTCGATGGATTCAGTAGATATCCGGAAGTTCTCACCAAGTTGCCGCGTTCCGAGCCAGGTTTCTATCGAATCGAGCGCTGAAGATATTGTCCTCGGATGCAAGGAGCTCCTGTCGAAATACGGCGTGCCGGCCATGTCCATCGTCCATGGCTACGGGGGAGCTCCTCCTCAGCTCCCGAGCCGTCCCGCTCAATTGCCTAGAGATCGCTTACAGCCTCCGGCACCGAGCGTTTTCCTCGAGAACAAGAAGCAAGCTTTCACGCCCCACCTTCAGCAGTTCTGCAATTCGAATCCGATAACAGTGATACGCAATCTAGGGTCGGTGCTCAAGCTGGACCTCGGTCTATTTTCGACCAAGTGTCTATGCGACGCCAACCCCGATCATCCTGTCGAGATTCGCACGCAACTCCAACAAGGACTCGAGGAGAACTGGGACAGTCATCGAAGAGCCCAAGTGTGGCGGTGCGAGAGCGTAAGAGGGCGCAGCACAATTTCACGTTACGCACAATATCAAGCCGCATCGTTCCAGGAGCAACTGCGCGAGGAACAACAAGGCTCCTCAAATCTCCAACCGCATCTGTCCGACTCCGATTCGAACTCGTCGTTGGGCGTGTTCTCTGCAATCAACAAATCAAAGCGAGCTAGAAAGAATACGACGCTCAAAACAATCAAGTTCGGTAGTCACGTCGACCTCAACGACGAGAAACGGTGGCGGCCGCAATTGCAAGAACTCCAAAAACTGCCCCCGTTCACGAAAGTCGTTTCCGGTTGCAATATGTTGTCCCATGTCGGCCGTCAGATCGTCGGAGTCAACACGGTCAAGCTGCACCTGAAAGTCCCGGGAGCGCGGACCACGGGACACCAGGAGCATAACAACTTCTGTTCTGTCAACATGAACATCGGTCCCGGGGACTGCGAGTGGTTCGCAACGCCGTACGAATACTGGGGAGAAGTTCACAGACTCTGCGAACGAGCCCACGTCAAGTACAATACCGATAGTTGGTGGCCTTTGATGGAGGATCTTCTGAGCCAACACATACCCGTGTATCGCTTCACCCAGCGACCGGGGGATCTTGTCTATGTAAATTACGGTACCGTGCACTGTGTGCACTCTGTTGGTGAGTACAATGGATAACGATCCATGACTTTCCCTGAATCAGAAATTTTCATTATGGATGCTCCGTATTCCATGGAATCACGTATGTCATACATATTGGAAAGATGAGCTGAATCCTGAGCCGATTTCCGTTCTCTGCAGGTTGGTGCAATAATATATCCTGGAATGTTGGTCCCCTATCGGCCGACCAATACCGATTGGCGATAGAAAGATACGAGTGGAACAAACTACACACCTTGAAGTCCATGGTACCTATGCAACAGCTGACGTGGAATCTTGCCCGAAATATGCAGTTTGCCGATGAGCGCTTGTACAAAATGGTTCGCGGTGTTCTCTCGCGAAGTCTCAGACACTGCGGGCTGCAGCGAGAGTGGTTGGACTCGATACGGAAAGAAGTACGATGGCATGGGAAAGCCAGGAGTGAGCCCACATACTACTGCTCGATCTGCCAGGTGAGTCGACCGACGGGATCCGTTTCGACGTCGTGACATGATTCGATCTAGAGTGCTCGGTGAGTTCTCCCCCTGGCCTCGCAACTCCGATGGAAGGTTTTTCTCTTACAGGCGGAAGTCTTCAATATACTTTACACGAAAACGAGATCTTCATCTGAGAGCGGCGTACCAGAGAAAATCTCGAAGAAGCTCGATGTTTATTGCTTTCACTGCGCCCGCGCAGCTTCATCGGGGCTTCGCGAATTCGTCGTTCTGGAGGAATACTCGATGAACGATCTCAAAGACGTCTACGATCACTTCCAATTGCGCGAGGTCAACGTCGCTCTATAGCAGTAGGTTAGAAAGGAGTTGTCGGCATCCTACTCCTCCGAGCGATTCCGGTAAACAAGGCACCGACGGTGATTGTCAGTCAGAAGAAGAACTACAGCAGAACCGAGTTTTCAAGTTTGTCGGATTCGCCTGGAAGTGGCCGACCGGTGTAATATGAACTGTTATTATCTCCTAAATTAAGAACATGTTGAGAGGATAATATTTCAATCGATTTACTTATCGTCACGTAAGCTCTTTCGCTGAGGCGATATCAGTTTCACCGCGAAACGAATCTGTCAGTCCGCTGTCCCCTGTCCCGAATTCGATCGTGATCGCTATCGATATTCTCATTTTATGCCATGGCGGATAGTCCCGGGCGCGACTCCATCACTACACATTGAATCATTCATGAGAACACTCCATCCTTTCAAGTAGTGGTATCACTAGTATACCGAGTTATGTAGGTGCCTCGAGCCGGATGTTAGAGAACGCCATATGGAAATGTATAAAAACAAATGGTTCTATATCGATCTACCAAGTTGCTAAACGAATGTGGACGAAATTGAATAAAGTCAGAATCTTGTTCGCGGACAAGATTCTTTTTCAGCGAATGTGTTCACTCGCTTCCATGCACAAACACGACGGATCTCCATGACTGATTGTGAGTGCGTTCTTCTGCGAACCAGAACGAGTCAGACCGATACTTCTAGCAGCGAAGAGATCAGAAGATCAAAAATCCATCTAATTTTATCCGCGAAAAGGATATGAGTGGGGCTAGAGAATTTTCCCGAAACGCGATTTTTCGCGGATTCCCCCAATTTTTCGTTGGCCACCCCCATCGATTATCACTGGAGGCCGCGGAAATTTCCCGCGAAAAAAATTGAGCCCTGAATCTGCGTCGTGATCAGCACTACGCTTTGCGACCGCGCTCATCCGCGGTTAGCGCCAAACATGTCACCTACGCGCACAGCATAATACCAAGATATATATGTAGGCATCCCTCAACAAGCCCGCATCATGGGCATCTGATCCTCCTCGGGGGAGAACCATCCGAGTCTTCTCCAAATCTCGGAGGGCCTCAGACGCAGGTCAGCGAGGAATCCCCATCGACCCTCTCTATGCCGTCTGAGCCCGTCGGCGTCGTCGTCTGGGAGACAGCGTAAGCAAAACTCCTGCGACTGTTCTTCGATTACATAGAGTCACGATAGCGGCTATGGAGGGCCGCGCACTGCGGTGAGTTCGTTCTCGAGACTGCAATCTCGAGGGACGCAGTAAATTTACAGCGGAGTCTAGACGCTGACGAGCGGAGACGTCTCTATGGGAATGTCCAGCCTCTGTCCTGGAATTAAGAGTGTCGAAGAATCTCCTAGGATCAATCGCGGCTGAAATCACGCGGCTCGAACCTTAAGTCCCCGCACTGCCACGAGACCCTCCCCGATTGCGACCGGTGCAGAACACACATGCCACCTCACTCATTGACACGGAAAGTAGAAAATTCATACCGCCTTCCCCCTCGTCATTCAGATGCTTCAGCAGGCTCGAGTCGCCCGGGTTCACGAGCCTGCAATCAAGGTGCATCAACTGCATTGCATATCTCCTCATGAAAGCCCCAGAGATCGACAGAACACGATCAGGCCCGCGGGAACAAGACGATAGAGTTCACGATTCGGTAAGCGGAGTCTCACTGTGCTTCAGGCCGTCTGAGAGTGTTTCCGATCGAGAAGTTCACGACCCTTCCGGAGCTTTCCCTAATTCCATGCATGAGTGTCGGACAATCAGAGCGGGGGTTCCCAGACCACGTACTGTGTCTCACCCAGGGAACACAAATCCTCCTGCGACGGGTCGCAGAGTGAGCTCTCGGCGCATGGAGAAGGAGTTCACCTCGCAGGGGCTCGAAGGTGATGAGCCTCTTCATTTTCACGAGCCATGTCGCTCAATTTCTGCTCAATATTGTTTTTACGTTCGGAAGATAAGTCGTCTCTCACTCAGTCAGACAATGAGCTCAGTATCGCCAGAGCGAGGGCCGATAGAGTCTCTCATCAGAGAGGGGCGGAAACTCCGAAAGTTTGGGAACCCCTGACTCCGGAACGATTCAAACGTTCCTGATTCCTCTCCTTCCCACCCGTAGGTCAATAGGCAACAGCTCGAAAATCTCCCGCCGGGACTCTTGCAAGACCTTTTGGAAGCTTGCATGGCCGTGACGCCGCCCGATGAGATGGTACGTTACAGCCAGATTGCCTGCATTTTGAAGACCACTCAATTGGACAGATTGAGCCTGTGGAACTTCCATACGACTGCGAGGGACTTCTCCTGGATGATGAGGAAGACACGGGGGAGATTGAAGGTGAGAGAGGGTTCGGGGAAATGAGCGGATCTTCCCTCTGTCGACTCCGTAGCAAAATGAAAGGCTGCTTCCAGGAACTGGAGGTGGATCGAGTGTCGGTTCATGGCCGAACTCCCGAAATCGTCGCGAGAGCTTTGCATTCCGTCGACAGACTTATAGAAGCCAATTGCGTTTCCTTGACACGGGTCACGCTCGGAGTCCATCTCAACGACCTGCTCATCCTTTCCGCTCTGCGACGATTGGAGCAACTGACCCTCAATTTCCGATGCGCCTATCAACTGAATGAAATAATCGTCAAGAATCGAAATCGAGGTGAACTCCCGATCTACGGTTCGATACAGACGCATCATTCGGGGTATCACAAGGGGCGGGGACGATTCCTGTAGACAGATGCTCAAGCCAAAGGATCCGAACCGGAGCGGTCAATTATCCCGATGATTTTCCAGATTATATATGGCCTCGTCTGCGAATTTTCCGCTATGGGGACTTGTATTCTGCGCCCACATTGCGCTTTATCTGCCATCTGTTGGAGAAATGCCCTCTGCTGAACTACTTGGCTTCCGATGTTTCTGAGGCTTTGATCCGTCTCCATGAAACTGAGTTCCTAAATGACGGGATCTCGAAAAAGTATAAATGTTTGGAGAAGGTTTCTCTCGGCTGTCTCGTCTACGGGTCCGAACAAGGAGAAACGCGTTTCCGAGGTAAATTTGACACATCGGCCTGATGCTATGTCTCTCGCTCGCTGCTTGAACGAGCTCCGCGATGACCATTGCAGTTGCGTCAATGATCAGCGTTCAGATAGCCATCGATGTATTTCCGAACCTAAGTGAACTGGACATCATTTTGGACAACCACGACTGTATAGCAATTCTCAATCAGTTCGTTCATCTCGCGCGATTGCGCATCAAATGGATTGCGAGATACGACTTGGGGGACTACAGTAGAAGTCTGCAGATGATCCTCTTCGAGGTAGGACGAATATTGTACTTCGGTCCCGGAACCGTGATGAGATGCTGAACAAGGGCGAAGGGTACGGGCGATATGGGCCGTAGTCAGCTGCTTGAGAGAAATCTGCCGACTTCCAGATCGGGTGCCAGCTCCACGAGCTATGTCTCCACGGTTTCAATGGGATCGATATCCAAGAGATTTCTTCACTCTGTCCGCACCTCGATTCGCTAGGCATCATCGAGTGCGCATCCCTGAACCATTCGGGGGTGAGTCGAAGTTGCAATGACCGTTCGTATTCGAACCAACACTGAAAGAGCTCATCCATAGCTGGGCTCATGGAGTCGGACTGTGATTGCAGTTCAAATTCAACCCATTCGAGAAACTCAAACGGTTCCGTTTCGTACCTCCGACCCACTACACGGCCGAACGTGCCGATGGGGATTTTCTCACGCTCATCAATGGTGAGTCCTGATGCATCGACTCGAGCGACATCTCCATCGCTGCTTCGGAGTACAACACATGCCAGGAGCAGCTCTTGAAAAGCTTGTTGAGGAAAATTGATGACTAACTGATGCCGAAGGTTCGGAGGATCTCGAGCAGTTCATCGTGGAGTTCCTCCGCACCGGTGAAGATTTAATGAAACTTGTGTGCGAAGTGCTGCTCGTGAATTCGTTGAAGCGAGTCTTCATGGCCGGTGAGTCTGGAGAGTCTATCCTGCAGGATCTCTGCTCTGGACGACAATTCTCTGCTATGTAATCAAGTCTCACAAGTTCCCGCAGGTCTCCACTTCAGGTTTACACCCACTGATGGGTTGCGGGAAGCTGTTGAGAAATTGGTATCAGCCTGCGAGCAGCTCCGATTCCTCACCGTGGGACACGTCGGAATCATGGATTTTTTGAGACTACGCTTTCCCCGCATAAAAACTCAGTACGAATTGCTCTATGTCGGTCTGTGAGCTCTCCCGAATGAGCCTTGATTGATACAATCGAGGCTGAGGTGGCGATTGCACATCATACATGTGCCGGTCGCGGCTCTCGAGGATTGGAGGCTTGGGACAGTAGTTCGCGGGTCGTCCTTTCGACGAAGTTCCTTTATTCAAGGTACAAGATTCGAACAAATTCTAGCGAAGGTCACCTATGCCTCCTTTCAACTCGATTTGAGAGACGCCTGTTTCTGTTCCTCCTCTTCCCGGATCGTCAGGAAACTCTTCAAGGCTCCGTACCGCTTCAGAATCCTCAAATGGGTGGTGCGATGATTTTTCAGGGGGTCGGTCTTTTTGAGATAAATTTGGTAACCTGGCAAATTCCAGTAGAATGGTGTCTTCTTTTTGGGCATCATAACGAGTCTCCCTGCAATGCGAATCAGATATACGAAATCTCGTTCCCGATCAGAGTATCGAGTGAATGCCCTCGATGCATTAGCCCGACGAGCACATCACCGACCGATAACCGTTCGCCTGGATGAGCGGATTACTACAAACCTCCGTTGATGATCATATTGAAGTCGAGTTCCTCGTTGGGATTTATCTCTTCCGCGGTCCGGACTGGCTCGTCTTTCGGGGACGCAACCACCTTCGGGAAATATCCATACTCCTCTCGGAACTCAACAACATGCAGACGTTTCTCGTCCGCCACACTCTGGAGAGACCGTTGGTTATGCAAACCGAGCAGGAAAGCCCGGATGACCGAAAGCGTATTCATCCGTCGTGCATCCGCCTTCACGAATATATCTTTGATTCCTGCGAATGAAAAATCCAAACTAGACTCTCGCCGTCACCGGAGATTTTCTCCGAGGAAGCCTGGAACTCCGCCGTGGAATTTGAGCCTGATCACAATGAAGCGAGGTCGAGATCACTCACCGATAACTTTGCAGAGCTCACGGACGACTCGTTGACAGACCAGACCGTATCCACGCTGCTTCTTTTTGACAATCAACTTGCAGCTACCGTATTCGGTGTAAAAATCGTGGAGTACGGTATGGTTTTCGAAGCGCTCGATGTACACAAGATTTTTCGCTGCTCCGTTCTTCGCTTTCCGCAGGGCAGATCGAGCGTCCCCCGCTTTTCCTTGAGCGAAACCTATGAGGCCGTTCCCGTTCCCGACAATGACGATGGATTTGTGCTGTCGCGTCCGGCCGGTATTGCCTCTCATGACAAACACCATGCCCATTTTCACCACGCACGACTTGAAACCTTCAAAGTTCTCGTCCCCGACTGGATCTGGCGGTCCGATGTAACGTCCTCCGGCTTTGCCACCGGACCAGCCTATCGAGAGAGAAATGAAGATAACAGTCCATTTCTCATGGAATTATTTTCTCATTCTGCGAATTCAGTTCTTCTCACCCCGATCGAGCGGTGCTATTTTAGTCCTGCGTACACCAACGTGTTTATTCCGTAGGGCTGTAAGACGCTTTTCGCGTTCGGGATCGGGCTCTAATTTTTGTTGCCGAATGATTTCTTGGCCTCTGATCGCAGGTGCAGACAAACCCGGCCACACCATGTTGATTTTACCAACGCCGAGAACCTAAAGTTGGAACGAGTTTGTATCAGGAATGAGGTAAGAGACATCTAGTGAAGTTGAGAGTGATCGAACTTCTTCCTTACTTGGCCTCGATTCAGATCCCTCGCCATCTTCCTACTGCTCCCCGACGCGCGACCTCTCTTGCGTCCTGCATTACTGACAGAAGTGACTCCTTTCCATAGATGCTCAGCGGTGACTTTCGAGAAAAAACTGGTCGACCTGTTCTGGAGATGCACTTGAATTGGCGGCGCAAGGGACATTCGACAGAACTGTCCCGTGAGCGACGCTATCCGGAACATTGTCTCCGCTCTACGAATTCCCCTCCGATCTTATTTTCTCCACCATGCAGCGTCGGCGGACTTGTTTTGGGTTTCGAACGACGAGAGAGAGAGACTTTCCGCGCCCCAGACAGGCGACTAAACCCTTTGCGCGTATCCCGGCATGTCAGCGTTTAGGGGTCTACGTCAGGGATTACGGACTGAAACTACGGACCCCGGCTATAAAGGAAGTCTCAGTGCGGGGCGCTCCACGAGGGGAATGGAGTCCTCGCCGACGAGTTGATCCGAGCGCGATATCTCAACTTATTCTTAGAATGTCTCAATTTCGCTCCGCCGGCACCAATAACCGAGGGCGGGAATATTCCCGATTTCGTCCGTCGCCGGGCACGAAAACGTCACGATACGAGTCAGAGATAGCCTCCGCTTGATTTCGGACCGGGAATGAGAAGTATGGCTCTAATCGGCTGTTTGTCCCGAACGGAGAGAGTTGCTGGATGAGGGAAGAAGAGGGATCATAGGAGCCTCAAGGAGGGAAGCACGGAAGATGATATCGCTGCTGCTCTCTTTCTGTCCCAGCGGATTAAATTAAGGGCGCAAGGGAATGCAGTGGTCTCTCCTTCCCAAAGAGAGGCATAGCTCAAAAACTGGTTTCTAAGGAGTGGAAATAGCAAGCATAGACGGCCGCGAATAGAAACTCCCGCTGAGCAAAAATCATTGACATCATCATCTTCCAACATCCGTCGAGAGAATTTATTTCATCAAGAAAGAATGTCCCCGGACCTTTTGAGCGGGCTCGTAGTTTGAAGCACATACTCTCAAGAGGCATGTGTGAAGTGAAAGCGTGTATGTCTTTCGAGTTGATCGCGTACGTTTCGGCGGAGTGAACTTGCGAATCTGGCCGCCTTGAATATTGCTGCATCGTGCACTTGTGACCGCAAGGATTCTCATCACAGCTGTTCTGAAGTCAAAAACCACAGCCTTCGAATGCTCCTTTGAATGAAAGGAGGTAGGCAGGAAGTTCTTGGTGAGCCTCTGGAAACTGTCATCACCTTAATGAGATGTATATCTTCAAGAGGTCCAAGATCTCGAAATTTAACATCTCAAACCATGTCTCAGCTATGGAATCCCGCTGGAGATATGAGGCGCTCGACTGGTGCTCGATTTTTGCAGTTCCTCCTCTTCCCGAGGCATTTGGGCGAAAATACTCTGCCAATAGTGAGGTTTCGCAGATCCGTAGGCTGATGCAAGGCATTCTCGTTCTTGCAGTGTCCCGATGCCTGCAGCAGCTGTTCAAGCAGGACCGAGAGACAGGCTCGAGTGGATCGTAAACCGAGTGCGTGGCACGCGTTGGATACATGTGAGTTGAGTTCGCCACCGATCGACTCGAAGTTCAGGGAAGCAGAGAGCTCACAGGATGTCGTCCATCGTTGAAGACGCTGGCATCAAATCGGTCGACTTTTTCCAACCACCCCCATGTGACTCGGAGACTGTGCCGGCCGAGGCCATTTCGGATAAGGTGGGGTAGCCATCTAATTTATTCTAATCTCAATCGATCGGAAACACGCGCATCTGAAGCGATCCGCTCGGTTCTATAACTCACATGAGGTTACCGCCGCAGAACGCCCTGGTCGCGCCATCCGAAGAACAATTCGAGATCCTTCTGAATGATCTGGCTCAGAGACTGAAGAAAGGTCACGGCGAAACGATCTATGAGGTAAGGATCCATGTGAACCATTTTCGATTTCCAGACTGCGAGACTTTTTTCCGCACCGATTAAAACGGTTGTTCGAATATCCCGCTTCTATTCGAGTGCAGCAGAGCTTCACGCGTTGCAGGTCGGGAAAGGCTCCGACGAAGGGGGACTAGCCGCGGCAGAGTTGGAAGCGTCGGTGGCTACGCTCAAATCACTGGTTGCGAGTCAAGATTGCGATTGTGTCCTCTTGCGTACGCGCAAGGAGCTCGCTGGTGATGTCGCCGAATACCTGATCCGATGCAAACCTCAAAACGATGATTTCCAGGAAGTGAGGTGAGATCTTCGATTTGAGGCACCTCAATCTGTCGAAAGTGGGGACCAATCTTCAATAAATTGCTTGACAACGCAATCCCATGTGTGCTTTCAGGGTCGCGGTAGTCGGGAATGTAGATGCTGGGAAATCAACTCTGTTAGGTGTTCTCACTCATGGTGAGCTCGACAACGGAAGAGGTCTTGCGCGTCAGAAACTCTTCCGCCACAAACACGAAATGGAGTCCGGGCGGACATCTTCTGTGGGGAACGACATTCTAGGCTTCGATTCCGTCGGCAACGTCGTCAACAAGCCCGACGCACACGCCGGCCAGCTCGACTGGATGAAGATTTGTGAGGAGTCTTCGAAAGTTATCACTTTCATTGATCTCGCAGGCCATGAGCGGTATCTGAAGACCACGATATTCGGCATGACGGGCCATGCCCCCGATTTCACAATGCTCATGGTGAGTAGCATGCGAGCGCGGCTCGAGGGACGTCCCAGAGATAATCATTCGTATACTTTGCATCAACTCCCCATGACTCGTTTCCGTAAATTGAAATCATCTTCCAGGTCGGAGCAAACGCGGGCGTAGTAGGGATGACGAAAGAGCACCTAGGATTAGCTTTGGCTCTCAGCGTACCTGTTTTTGTGGTGGTGACCAAGGTCGATATGTGCCCGGCGAACGTCTTGAGCGACACGATGAAATTGCTCATCAAAATCCTTAAGTCACCGGGCTGCAGAAAAATTCCAGTCATCGTCCACAATGCGGACGACGTCGTTGTGTGTGCCACAAATTTTGTCTCAGAACGGCTCTGTCCGATATTCAAGGTTAGACTCCCTCCAGTGGGGACTTGAATCTTTGTAGACAGATCGTTGGTAGCGAATTCACCGGGTAGCTATCGATGAACAAACATCAAGGAACTTGAGCCTCCGGACTCGTACGAGGGGGCAGTATCTGACGAAACGCTAACATATGCTCTTCCTCAGGTCTCGAATGTGAGCGGGGAAAATCTCGATCTCCTGAAAAAATTCATGAATCTCTTGACGACACGTATGCCCGGGAGCTTTGACGACGAGCCGTGTGAGTTCCAAATCGATGACACGTACAGCGTACCCGGAGTAGGGACGGTCGTCAGCGGCACAACGCTGAAAGGCGTGGTGCATCTGAACGAAACACTCCTCCTTGGTCCTGATCCGCTGGGACGTTTCCAAGCTGTTCAGATAAAATCGATTCACCGGAAGCGGATGCCGGTCAAGCAAGTTCATGCTGGTCAAACGGCTTCGTTCGCGCTGAAGAAGCAAGTGAAGCGATCCGACATCCGTAAAGGAATGGTGCTGCTCTCCCAGAGCATAGGGGACCCTCAGAGCTGCTGGGAGTTCGAAGGCGAGATCCTCGTGCTCCATCATCCCACCACCATATCACCCCGTTATCAAGCGATGGTGCACTGCGGGAGCATCCGACAAACCGCGACCATTGTTGAAATGTCCATGGATTGTTTACGCACAGGAGACAAAGCTCTTGTTCACTTCCGATTCATTAAGAATCCGGAGTATGTGCGGCCGGGAATGCGGATGGTTTTCCGAGAAGGACGAACGAAGGCCGTAGGGAAAGTGGTGAGGATTCTGGTCACGCCGGGAGGTCCGGGAGCGGCGAAGAAGCCCCAGAAACCCCAACGGCACCAGCATGGGCATCATCAGCCACCCGATGGTCTGAACCCCGGCGATTCGAATTCCAAGCATCAGAAGAAATCCTTCGGCGATAAACATGCGCCAGATACCAACAACACGCCTGTGGAAGTCGCGTAAGGGGAGCGACGCTTCCTTTGATGAATGACTACGCACGGACTACCTTGCGAATCACTCGACCGAGTCGGAGCGTGTTCCTGTTTGAGTGTTCGTGTGTATGATCATCCCTGAAAGAACAGGAGAGCCCGGTGTTTGAAGTTGAATAAATTTAAGATTTTCCTGACGCGTCAGCTTTGTACGTCATTGAGCGAAGCTTCCATCCCTGTTCTTCAGCGAGGAAAGAGCGGCGATTTTGAGAGGAATAAGCATTGAAGCCCAACGAGTATAAATTACCGAGTTCACTTTATTCTCTTTGTACACTTCATCCCATGCTCGACGTTGGGAGGCCCCAACAGAGCTTCAGAAGCGAGGCGTCAGACTCCCTCGCTCCATCTGATCGAAAGCTGAGCTTATCACCACGGATTCTCTCATTCGTCCTGAGCTTGGCGATTCGCTTTCGCATTGTATGCGAGGACCCTCTGGTTCAGTGGGTTCTCGGGAGATCGCTGCCATTCTTTCCGGATCATTTGACGGAGTTGAGAAAGACGCATATTCGGATATTCGCTTTTCAGCGATGATAATCTCGCCTCTTCGAAAGCTTCGAACGTTGCTTTCAACCGTCGCTCTGGATGACGGTCGATCAATGTTTCTGCGGTGTTCAGGTTCCCCATCAGAGTGATGGCCTCGTCCAGCGTCCGAGCCGTATGCGCATCGCCCTCGATCTGTGAAGACGCGTTTAGGATTAGCTCGAGGAGGAAAACGCATCCCAGGGATCTCTATAGCGGCTGTCCCGCGATCGAATAGCCTAATCTGGAGAGTCTGATCCCGATACGCTCCATCGGCGTCGTTCCGTCATGATCCGATCGTCCTGACGAATGACGAACAATCAACATTTTGGTGCTAATGAGAAGACTCACTCTGTTTAGGTTTTCCAAAACCAAAGTCTGTTCCACGACATTATCTTGTTTAGGGGTGGCAGAGCCCCCTGCAAGCAGCGTCTTCTCGATTTGGGCCCGAGTGACCTTCGGTGGAGGCTTCGAAGCTTCTTTTCCCTTCAGTTGAGCCATTTCTTCCTGGAGCAGTTTCTCGCGCTCTCGCTTGCGTTCTCTCTCCTCAGCGTCTTTCCGCTCCTTCTCTTCCTTACGAGCCTGTTTCTTTGCAATCTGAAAGCAGAATTAGTATCAGGTATTTCCCTAGCACACCTCGTAACGTCACAAGCTGGACCGTCGAGTCACCTGTTTGTCGTCATCGCGCCAGAGTTCATCCTCTTTGGCTTTCAAAACGCGATCCTTCTCAGCCTGTTTCGCAGCGTCTTTCCTGGCGCGGGCATCAACAGACTTCTGATTCGTCGATAGTTTTTTCGGCATCCTCCACCGAGTCGCTCCTCTTTCGGGAAGTCGGTGATGTCAATGATATCAACACGGCTCCCTGTATACAGGAGAGATGGAGCGCAGGAGAGAAAAATGTGTTATAGATTAACCTGTATATTTAGGAAGCAGCATATTCCGAATCTCGCTACTCCAACGTTTTCGTCGCAACCCTGAGAAAAGGGAAGAACAGATCCACGCACCCTCGGGATTCGGAGAATAAATCTGAGACCTCCCCAGTTCTCAAGAAAGCATAAACAATGCTCGCTCGAACTCCACTCCGGAAGCAGACGGTGTGAAGCACGGTCTGATGCCGGGGATGAATTCTCCGGACAGCAACAGGATCCAAAAGAGTGATGGCTCGGCCGAGCGCTGTGTTCTGGATACAGGACTGCCAAAATGTAATGACGACGGCTGCCTGAACAGTGCGATCTCACCGCTAAGTTTCGGAACGACTATTTATTCGTCGGAAAGTACCGGGTCTCAGAAGGAGGCTCCGGTCAGAGGAATCTCAACAAACTCTCGCCTCTGATCCATTGAGGTCTTGTCTGAGGCCGTCGCTGTGAATCGGTTTTGATTTCACATGACTGGCTAGATGATGGTTCAAACGTATCTGCTCGATCAGACGATGGCTTCGAATATATGAAGGCGATGGGTTATTTCTCATGTTCTTCTGTCCTCTTTTCGGCTCCCTCATGCTACCTTATCCCCTCTTTATGCTCCCTCTTGTTGAGCTTCAGGAGCGCTTTAGAACGGTTGGCAAAAATCTCCGGGAGCCTGATTTCCTGAATCGCGGGGCCCCTGATTTTACCCGCTTCGAGAGCCCCTTGTTCCTGGCTATTCTCCGGCAACGATGAGACGAAGGTCTTGATGAGCTCATCTGGGATGATCCCCAATAGTAGCGGAAAGAGGATCGAGCATCATCGCGCGATGATTTCGCCACCATTTCCAGCTGTACGCTGAGAATCGCGTTGATTGAGCAATGGATTTTGTCTAACATTCGCTTCACTCAGCGAGCATCAGACCCCTGGGGAATACTCTGTGGGTGCATGAGTTTGGGGAATAGCCCGTCGTGCAGTATCATTCTCCTTTCTGAAATCGGTGCTCACCTCCTGATCGGCTTAGCGAGGAGCGATAGAGGCTTCAGGAAACTATATTCAACGGCGAAATGCATTCCTTGTTCAAGTAGGCAGAGCCTCGAGCTGAGTGTTCAACTGACCCTCCCCATTTTTCCGAGGGAAACGTCGACAGCAGAGGATGCGAACAGATGTGCTATCGTGACGCCGCACTGAGGGTAAAAGACTCGATAGAGTAAAGAAGTTTACGGCAACATTTTATTGCAACCCTCATTCACAATTTCTCAGCAAGATGATTATCTCACACACTCAAAAGAAAATATTTGTATAAATATGAAGAAGCCTATGTCGTCTGTTGGCTTTGTGCTCGTCGCCGAAGCCGAAAGACCTTGTGCTTCGGCCGGCATAAATCTGCTGCAACTCCTGAGATTGACGATATGCACTCCGTGCAGCTATACATCCTCCGACGCGCACCAGTCGAAGGGAGATCTGCCGGAAACACGATGCCCGCGGACCCTTCGTTTGCGAGACCCTCGCGAGGCGGACTCTTGCACACAATCTTATATCACGACTATTCTGACATCGAGCGTCCGTCGGACGAGGAGCGGGACATCGAACAGCAGTCCGGCTTCTCGAAGGGAATTCAAGAGAGTTTGATCAGTGGAAAATACATGTGATGCCCTCTCTCGAATAAGATTTGAGCTTCTCTTCTGTGACCAGTCTGCAGAAGGTTCACTACGATCATATTGTTTTTGCTAATCTTGAGTAGAGCTTGTTGTTCTGGACAGAGCTCGCCCGCCGATTCCAAGAGAGCCTTAGCCTGTGGAGTTCGAAGACAGTGAGTAATTCGTATTCCCGTTCTCCGGAATGATGGACACGACCACTGTCGTAATCATTAATCTTCCCTACCTGCTTGAAACATTTAGAAGCCGCATCGTACATCCCACTTGGCGTCAAATTCTCGTATCTACTGGTATCATTGATTTCGCAGTATTGTTCGTAGGTCACAACCCGGGGAGTGGCCACGGCTTGGAACGCTTCGAAGCGATGTTCGAATCGAATCTTCGAAGGAATAGAAACCGTTAGCCTTTGAGCCCTTGGATTGACACACTCGAACACCTGTCTACGCATTCGGGTACGGACCGTTCTCGAGATCTTCGCGGTCGTGAGATCATCGCATGATTTCCAGACTCGAGGGCTCTTACTTTTTCTGAGTCAAACTCTACGTTGGGGAATTTAAGTCGTCCATCCATCCGGAGAGCCATCACTGTCTTGTAGAATCCACCGCAGACGCTCTGCATGATCTGAGTGGATAGCAGCTCCTTATAATGGTATCCCTGGAGGAAAGAAATGGGCGAATTTCAGCTTCGTCGATTTCAATGCCGTACGGTACGTACTGCCCGAAGAGATTAAGGGACAGTTTACCTTGGTAGTTTTCTTCGGCTTTGTGCATCGTGTATCTTTCTTCTGTTTCCTGAGTTTCTTGTCGCATTCTAACATGTAGCTGTCGGCCTGCGATAGCGTGGTCACGAGAAACCGATAAAGATACTCGTGGAGATACCTTTGGAAATTTCTGTCTGTGTGAATAACTCGCTCCAAGCGACCTGTGTTCTGCTCGAATAAGAGGGCTGACGATCGCTCTGAACACTTCGCTGGTCGAATTGAGCTTCACTTACCAAAATATATAGCAATATTCATGCTCGGCGTATAGGTCAAGCTCGAACCCCATGAGTAGGTATCCGATTTGAGTTTTGAGGATGTAGCTGATGAGCCACATGGTGAACCATTGAAATATCGGACAATTAGGTTCAACCTCTTTTTGGGCCATTAGGAGGAGACCGTCAACCTTCTCAGCTTCGTCTTGAACTGCGGCGAGGTCTTCGAGGACCCGCGTGCATTTCTCTAGCTGACGAGCTCGATTGTGACCGGTTACCTGAGAATACGCCTCTTACTATGAGAATGTTTCCACGGGGAGACGGACACGGCGGAAATTAGGGCGAATTGAGCGAGTACGGCGGAAGCAGCCTACCTGGAGCAATCCGAAAAGCGGTTGGCAGCACCGGAAAAGTAAGCCCTCGGCCCAGTCTCGGCACTCTGCGGACTGGGAAACAGCGCTCTTCGCAACGAACACCTGCACAGAATTATTAACCATCACTACCGGTGATATAATGAGGCCTCTTGGGAAAAGCAGAGCTCCAATCAGACGGGAATCGAATCACGAGGTGACCTCCTAGTCCAAGGACTCACCGGCGGACGACAGAAGGTGCGGATAGCGTCCTTGAGGACGTCGGTGGTTTTGGTCATTCCGTAAACCATCCCGGGCGACGGCATGTACACTAATCGGCCGATACTCCGAGATAAGACGCACGGGCTCTTCTTCGAGAACTCCGAAAAGAAATGCAGAACCTGCCCGAGAGAGATGGGAATGTTGCAGAAGCTATCCAATGCCAGCATGAGCTCTAGAACGATGAGTGGTACAACATATTCACCTCACCTGATTATAACTGTGCAATCCTGTTATCTCCATTACTTCTTGAATCCGTAACAAGACACATTCGAGGTATTCGTAGGCACTCCTACAGCTGGCCACCTTCGTGTATCGCGGGAAGGTCGACGGGAGCAATCTGCAAATCGAGAAAATCCCTCGGGGCTCGAGCGAATTGTTCTGGGACGAAAAGTGCCCCGATTCGATAATTAATCAGGGTGCTATCACATGTTTCCCTGGTCTTCGCTTACCTTTGATTCGCTGTCGCGTCAAAACCGGGCGTCGTCGGAAAGTTGTCGTCATCGTCGAGATTTTCTTTCCGAATGATACGAACTTCTTCTATGACCCCTTGCAACGTTTTCCGTGTCTCGCTAATGATCATACGGCTTTCTAGTAGGCTGAGGTTTTGGAAGAACAACCGGAGAAATCGAATTCTGTGGTAAAGCTGCATAATGTCATTGGGGTCCTCATATTCAGCGTCCACGCCATTTGTCTCCGATTCATCTTCTTTGGCTTGACGAGCTCGTTTTGCACGCTTTTGGAGATCGTCCTCACACTGTAAAATCGGATAATTGTACTCGCGCACTCGAGTACGTCGGGTGGACCAAGGGTTCGAACAGGGAATACTTCGGCAGGAGAATGATCGGGAGAATCTACCAGGAAAATACAGAGGAGCTCCAGATTGGGTGACCCGGAGCCCTCTCAGGATTCTCCTCGGAACTCACTTGTCTGATTAGAGAGCAGGCTTTCGAATCGAGCACGTCTCGACCGAGATAAAAATTATAGGTAACTCCATGAAAGTCTTCCTCTTCAAAGGCACCTATCTTGTAGACGATTTCTTTAATGACAAAGACTAATTTCACGGAGACCAGGGCAACAGTCCGCATCGTTCGATCCTCGATGAGTGCGGGGTCATGAAGATAGAGGTTTGCAAACACAGTTTGAGCCAGGCAGTGTCCTTCCAGCCAACTGACCAAGCATCGGAACGAGGAGTCTAGCACCGAGCGGATTTCGTTAACAGTAAGGTCTTGTACTTTGAATTTGCCTTCGGCGATCGCTTCTTCCACGGAACAGTTCTGACTCTTGTTGCATAGCATGCCTGCATCCATTTTCGGATCCATCATCTCTATGGCACTCATCGCCTCCAATAGAGTGAAGTCCTCTGGAAATGATGAGAAAACAATGAGCCAATCATTCAATGTGCTCCGGGGCTTCATCTCGGAGGCATCCGCTCTCGTGTCACAATGTATCCCGCAGAGAGACCCCTCAGGGATAATCGATCGCAGAAATTTCCCTCCCTTGGCCGTGGTACCTAGGATTGGGGTAGGACTCGCGAAGAAAATTACCATCGAGATAGCAGACCCCCTGACCATGCTCGCTACAGAATGAAAACATAAGAGGGTACGGATCGGCGATAATAATCATGGGGAGATCCGAGCGGCGCGCAACCTGTTGTCCCACGATATCTTGCCAGAGGGGCGCTACCGGAAGTTTTATTGTCCATACACGATAAGCCCAGGCAGCCGTCTACAGCTTCCTGGAGAAATTCTGCTCAGCGCTAAACTCACTGTCACGGAAGAGCTCGCCGAGCGCGAGCGAACTGGCGGCATCACAGAACTGGCGCGTGATGTCGTTCCATTGGAAGGAAACTGAGTCCGCGGGCGTCGGCTTCCCCTGTGACTCCTCGCCCATCCTGGAAATCGAAAACTCGCTCTACCACCTCCCTGGTAGCAGGCTCCTCGGGTGGATAGGTAGAACTAGCTTTCCTTAGAACACTGGCTCTATGTGTGCGAAGTGAGAGTAGATGCAGCCATGTTGGTTCATGGATGAACGCATAGCAGAGTGTAGAACACTCCGGGGAGAATTCCGAAGGAAGAGTTCCAATCATAGAGCCTATCGTGACTGAAGTCCTTGGCAGTCTAGGGGAGGGCTGCCTCTTTGGAATTCTTCCCATTTATTTAATAGAAACCAACAATCGAAGTTCCCTGATCACAGATCATGAGGGGGGAGCGATGCACGCAGACGACCGGAGGGGGCAGTCTCGAGCGAGGAGTTTGATTATTCGAGCGCTCTCTCGTAGGTCGACCAGGCCTGCGCTGTCGATGGAAACCATCAGGCTGTTCGGGAAGGCACTCGAAGAAGGCACCAAACTCTTCTGACTTCGAAAGAATGCTCTCCACTTTCCAGTGGGCATTCGGAACCCGATGGCTTCCTCCAGAGACTTTCCGGCTCAGGCGCTCGCTGCGACCGAGCTCTAATCGCCTTGACGGTGCGCTTTTTTCGTTTGGATCACGATGATCCATGAATTTAGCGAAAAGGACGAACGAGGGATGATTCGCTAATCAGTATCTCTTGAGTCCGACGAGGAAGGGTTTTCCTCGAAACACCGAGTGGGGTCCGGGAGGATAGGTCAAAGCCTTGTCACATGGCCGGGTAGCGCTCAGAGCCGTGCCTGGATGAGGCTTCCCGTTGTCTCGAGTTTCTACTTGGTACAGATATTAGTCAGAAACTGACATGGATTCGGCCGAAAACGAAGTCTCGTCGCATCCATTCTCGGCTTGTTTGGGAGTCGGGAAGTGGCGAGAGCTGGGATTGAGACCCGAGACCAGCCGCGAGTGTCAATGATTTGAGAGACAGAAGCGATTCCCTTATTTCCCTCAGTGCGATCCCGGGTCCAGCAGTCTCGGACGCGCTATCAGGGTCGATCGCTCGCAAGCATTGACAGGGGCTCTGGACCTCTGGACCGTTGCGTTGATCGAATTTTTCGCTGCTCTGGTCATTCTTTGAAACTCATCGAGCTAAAGAAAACAACAAGGATGGGCGGGCTCATGTCGACGACGACTAGTATGCTGGGCGGGAGACCCATACGAACTATGAGAGAATACCATTTGCCGGGGCTGCCGAGGAAATCGAGCATCGGCCGAGGACTCGATCCGGACCTGTACAGAGTTCACCTCAGGAGGGCGAGAAAGAATTTCAGAAAAAATATGCCGAAAACTCATGCCCCCAGGAGGCGATAGAGGGTACCTTCTTATTCAAAGGCTTCGTGAGCAAAGGCTCGTGGGGGAGCGTTTACAGAGTCAAACATCTGAAAACCGGGGTGAAATGTGCCCTCAAGATTATACCGAAAGCAAAGTACAGAGAGCAACTACGTGTGCTCGTCGTCCACGAGAAAAAACTGCAATTTGCGTTGTCGGGCGACAATATCGTCTGTCTGTTCTCTGCGTACCAAGACACGGTCAATCTTTATCTCGTCATGGAATACGCCAAGTACGGGCACCTCAGGAGGTTCGCCAGTCGACCGGACGGTTTGAGTGAAAACACAGTCAGACTCATTGCCGCTCAGCTCGTCCTAGGACTGGAATACATCCATGCTTGCGACGTCCTATACCGCGATCTGAAAGAGTCGAATGTTCTAGTTTTTGGGGACGGCTACGTGAAGATCGCAGACTTCGGCGTGTCGCGAATTTATCGAGGACGCGCGAACACGTTCTCGGGAACTCCTGACTACATGGCTCCGGAAATGGCGGATACTTATCACGGATACGGACTGGAAATCGATTATTGGGCCCTCGGCATAGTTCTCTACCGATTGCTGTACTTCCGGCATCCGTTCAGGGGTGCTGACAAGATCAAGGCGCGTGAACTTCTCCACAACATAAATACCGTCAACCTCAGCTTCCCTGACGTGGGTGAAAACGACGAGTTGACTCCGACCCATCACTTTATCGCCGGCCTGCTGGAGAGGGATCCTTTGCATCGCATCGGCCGACACGGAGGAGACATCAAGCAACACGATTATTTCAAGGGCATGTCCTTCATGGCGATTCATCGCAAGCTGGTCCGGTTTCAAGTCAATTTGCCTCCCGTGCCGTATGAGGCGACCACCGAGCTCGATGTTCTCCCCGACATAGACCCCGACAAGCCGATGAATTATTTCGACAGCTTTTGATGCCTAAGTAGGGAGCGATCCGCGGCGCGGTACGCGAGAGCACGGAAGGAGGGAGCCAGAGCGAGAACGGAATCTTGTGGCTGAGGGCAGATATGCACCTAAACACACATTTGTAATAGTACAAGCGTCACCGAATCATACTAGAGGAGAGATACCCTGCAGCGTAGAGAGAGAGCGTGGGGCTTGAAAAATCCTTAAATACAGAAAAGTTAGCAGCATATGTTGTTACGGCAGATTTCTCCAGGTGCCGAATCTCGATGTGGGGCGTTCATATTCCGGGGCTCATAGGGCAGCTCCGCGGGGGATCATGAGGCATCGCCCTCGATATGCTCAATACTTCAGGGTTTTCCCTTTTCAAGGGTGAAGTCCCCGGCTATGGTGACTCGCCGACGGTGAGAATAGAAAGGCGCGAAAGCCATTCTGCGGATTATCTTTCGGTGGGAGCTGAGTGAGCGAATCGTAGAAATGTCGGAAACAGATGCAGATGAAGAATCAAATCGTCGGTCTCTCTGAGGAGACATCGAGATCTCGGGGAGAGAACAATTTGGTTTCTCACATCCTTCCAAATTCATTTGGTTGCGCTGTATCTTCCTGCGGTGTGACCTCTCGGAATGGCCTTTCTCGTTTCCGAGACAACGGCCTGATCTCACTCCTCGATGCTTGTCCGGGAACCAATATCGGCGGTTTTCCCCGGCCGATGTTCGATTCCACGGAGCTCGCAACACCGGATATCAGCGAGCTTAGGGCTAATTCACATTCTTTCAAATACACATGCTCCATTTACTAGACAGGAAATTGCTCCAGGTGAGGTTCTCGGAATGAACCCAGGAAGTCTCTGATGTTATGGTCAATGGATCGTACGGATCGGATGGGGTAGTAGAGATCTGAGGGGGAGACCAGGCCCTTTGAATTGCGTATATCTTATCGAACGATGTCCAATCATCTGAAACACGCCACAATTTCTATGCATGCGGGCCGACGAATACGGAAATCCTGTTCCGTCTGAAGAGTGTCAGCTATTCTTCGAATCAGTAATGGATGTTCAGTAGGCCGCCTTTTATGAGAGGGAGGGGTCGCTCCCACCTTCCTCTCCATGACGAATACGTACATCGATTGCCGTCCGCGTTCGACCATCCTCACGAGATGAATTGCCATTGTCCTTGAAAGACTTACTGGTCAATCGACTTCGCTGGACACCGACAAGCGTCACGACGGTCGCTCAGGGCACGCGCCTGGTTCCGGCGAAGGAGAACGACGATGGGCTGTCGCCTCCCAGAACTACCTAGGTGTAGTAAGCACACTTACTGGGGACAAGTCCGAACTCTCGGGAAATCTAGACCGATTGAACGGTCGGGGACCTCGAACACTGCTGAATTTCTAGATCAGAGGACGTATATTACGCATTTCAGGGAAGCGAGGACGAAATTCGATCGAAGATTCGAAGCGAATTCGTGCCCGCGAGAATCTATTCGTTTCGTTGTCAAAGGCTTCATGAGGGTACTTCTGGGAGCGTGTGCAAGGTTTTGCGTCCAGCTAGAGGAGTTCGCTTGCAAGAACGATCCAAAGCTGCAAAGACAGGAAATCCCCGAGAAGAGAATTCAATGGGTTGTCGAGCGACTTCACTGTCGGACTGGCTTAAGTTTATCGAAATTGCGCGAGTCTCTATTTCGTGATGGAATTCGCTACATATGGGGACCTGAAAAGATTCATACCTCGAGCTGACTGTTTGAGCGATCCTGTGGCAGTATTCCCCAACAAAAAAAAGGAGCCGGCGAGATGTGCCTACCTTGCAAAGTCGCGAATCGCAACGATCGACCAATTGCCAGACGACATGAGCCTGATGGAGGGATACCAAGTTCCATATCATCCAAAGCGGCGCCGGCACCTCGTCGTTCCAGCTCGATGCACCTCCGTCCAGGCCTGTTTCCTACAACGCGATGGCCATAGACGGGGATCACTAGAGGTGCTCACAGCCAGCCCAGTTTAGGCTCCGACCTACAGTCGGAAATCATGAACGGGGAGCGAGCCACTTCCACTGTGGGCTCCGATCCAGGGCCGCCTCGAGGTAGAACTCGTCCTATAGGAACTAGAGATCGCTGCTATCGTTCGGTACCTGCGATGCGTCGGGAATCCCTACCCTTTGCGGTTCCGAGCGTTGGGTGGCCCGCAAGCCGTCCGATCAAAGAGTTCCGGATGGAGAGATGCTCATTGCTGCTGATTCCCGCTTATTCCTGCTCCCCCATGCGAATCCTGCTCATTCCCGTTTATTCCCGCACGTCCTCGCTTGTTCCTTCCTGTTCCTGCCGGATGTGCCTCGGTAGCTTGTACCAACCATCGAGGATATGAGCTTCTTCGCGAGACCTGGAGTTACACGCCAAGCTTCTCGCAAGAGAAGCTCCCGATCGCTTCCTCATCAGCGAGGAATAGTCTTCGCCAATTCGATCGATCCTCAAGATACAAGGGGGGCGACAAGTTTCACTGGCGTCTTCCCGTCGCGTCCTGCTCGTAATCCGGGTTCCCTGACCCCGGGAGGAACAGAGCGATTTTGACTCTTCTCTGCACCGAAGATCTGTCAAACGCACGTATTTCGTTGTTATCATTTCCAGAGGAATACGTAGAGAACGCAATTGTAGCCAGCTACAGAATTGCGTATCGAGGAGTATGAGCGAACAGTTACTCGGAGGACTTCCTCTGGTTGTGTGATCGCTGTGGAAGTCGGGATGCAGATGATCATCATCGTCACTCTCCTGCCGATGCAGTTCTTGACGTCGCGAGTCTCACCCCTGCTCCTAGGCGATAACAGGAGCTCGAGCGCTGACCCGGTTCGCACGCACCGTCGAGCCTACGGCGTACCGACTCGGAAGCTCGGTCCTACACGGTTGCTTCAAAATCGTGATATGTTTCTCTATAGATTTGCGACAGCATTCTTTCCGCCGAGATTCATCCGGATGCGAAGAACTGACCTTTCTCTGGGGATCAACGATGTCTGAATGTCATGGACCAACGAACACCGCTCTGATCAATTCTTCACTTCTGCATTCTGTCGTGGAGCGCACTTGCCGGAGTACTGAAAGAAGTCGGAGGCGTAGCGACGAATGTGCTTCCGGATGGAATTGCGCCGGCGGCGCCCTCTCGAAGACTCACCTCAATCAAAACCGCGTGGTATCTGGCAGCTCCACTGGCGATGACCAACCCGGGAGGGTTTGGGGGAAGATGTATTCCTGGCTTCCCCACGAGGACGATATCACGGACGACAAGACATTCCCCGAGGTGGCTAGGAGCGCCCTTCGGATCGTAAAGAAAACCGTGGTGTTCTATATACCTATCTTCATTGAGCTCGTTACTTCTCCTCCTTCTCCGCCACAACCGCCCGTCTCTCCTCTCATTAAATTCTTGGCGCAGAGGTCTCTGGGCCTTTTTGCGCTCAGTCACTCATTTTTTCTCAACAGGGACCAGCGAAAAGCTTCCTTCCCGGGTAAGGATATCCCGTCTCTTAAGGAAAAACTGTCATCTCCCGCGGCGCAGCGCTCCTGAATCCCGATGCAAGAATACGGCGGCAATTGACTGAGACTAGCGGTCTCTCCGGAAATTCTGAACAGCGACTGGGTTCCATCCGCGCATCCTTCCAGGCCCTCGTGCATTGGAGACGGAATTCACTTATGTTAGTGGAGACCCGCATCGAAGCATGCGTTCTACTCGTGGTTCCTCAGTCCTCAGCCGATAGACCTAAGTTGGTATCGATGTCTCGTCCGAAGCCTCCGCTCCGCGAACCCTGCTGAGCCCTGGACATCCCCTCCTCATTGACCGAATATTCGAAAGATTCATCTTCGGGGCTCGGCGGGGAAACTTTGAACATGGTCGTACCCAGCCCCTTCCTCTCCGGTTAAGCTTCCTGCGTTTGTGACTCACGATGATGCTGCGCAACTTCGAAAACCGTGGTCAGCGCCTGCTTGGCTTTCGAAATTCCCTCATGCGCTGAGCGAGGAGGGCGCGAGGAGGCCGCCGACTTTGGCGGTATTCAGAGGGCGGGCGGTCGGTCGTTGTTGGGTCGGTGGAATCAAACATGGCGCCGAGCGAATACGAACAGTGATCGTCGTCGTCATAGGTGTTGCTCCGTGGTCGTTGGTTCATTGAACAAATTGTCGGTGTTTTGTACATTGTTCTAACGAGCATCAGCAACGGGCTGCGGCGTTATTGTCGAAGAAACTAGCTTTTAGCCGCACGACGACGCACAAAGCCTCCTATAACTACCGAGGCTTGTGGCGTGTGTGTGTGTATAATTTCGAGAGCCGTAGGCCAGCAGCAGCGGAGCTTGTGCCGTGCTGCTACTATTGGTGCTGGCGGTGGTGGTCGGTGGTGGTGTAAACGAACACCAGGGTGCAAATTAGTGAACTTCATCTAAATTGAGCCACAATGAGTGACGGCGACCGTCTGAACGTAGACTCGATTTTGGCCCGACTCCTCGAGGTCAGAGGCACCAAGCCTGGCAAGAACGTCCAGCTGTCCGAGGCCGAGGTAAGCCTTCTTCCGCCATCGCCACCGGCGTCGCTAGGCCTCGCCCCGTACTAAATGATGCCTCCGCACATGAGACCGATGGGGGAATTCAACCCGAATGATGGGTTATTCGGATTTGCGAAGTTGATTTCTACCGCGTACCGCGTCATTAGGGTTGGGGGACGGAAATGCTTGGGGAATTCTCAACTGACAACGTGAGGAACGAAGTTGAAAGCGGAGTTTTCCCGCGGTCACCGTACGGTGTTCGGTAGCACTCGACTACGAGCGGGGGCAGCCTACTTTCGGAACCTGTTCTATTTGAGTTGTTCGCTGTTGTGTACGCTCGTCAGAGTAACGACCATTTGAGTTATTGTAGCGGCTCGTCCTTGGGCGAGCATGGTTTGCAGGGACAGAGAGAAGCTTGATTGATTTCGGACGTTTGAGTCTACCGGTGAACACAGACAGTGCTTACCGTCGACCACGGTATTCTAATTCGGATTCTCGGCTACAAAAGCTACGGATGTGCGTTCTCTGGAAGATGAATAAACTAGTTCCTCATCTCTCGTCACTATTGTACATGCCGAGAATAGGTACATTGAACAAGAGCAACCCGCCTCTCAGACCTGGAGGCTCGAAAATTGACCAGCTCTGCTCGCCTGATTTCTCTCATATTCGAAGCGGGCGTTCGTCATTCGGTTTTTCTAATTCTCCCGACGTCTATGCTCCTAGTCCGAATGTCTCCTCTGTCAAGGTATCTCGCTTCTTAGTGACTGTATGCTTCCTACTCTCGAATTAGTGCCAGGGCTGGTGGAAAATGTTCCCACGGTACATCGTCGTCTCCGGCTTGACGGGTGGAGCGTCATATATTGGGGAGGAAGACACTTCATTCTGGTAGTACTGAGTTTTCGTGTGAGCGCTCACGAGTTTCCGGACAGTCGCTAATGACAACAGGGGCGCAGAAGCAGCGGAAAACAACGTCCAATTCCAGTACTCCTGTACCAAGCCTCTCAGTCTATATTCGTATTCGCCTCCGAGTACGACCTTGATTCATTCCACTGTGTCACTTCAAAGGACGCTCAAGAGAGGATTTTTTTTCTCATCGGCGCTGCGAGGCTCGGCCATGAGGATCGTCTTTCTATCCGCGAGTGAAGCATGCCCATTGAAAACATGAATTTCTAAGCAGAATCACACGAGACGCTTCAAATCGGGAAGAACAGTCATTGACTAGAGTTTCGTCGAGTTTACAGTCGTCTTTCGCTTGTAAAACGGATAGTTTGTGAATTTACACATATATTAATATATTTTACAACAACATTTTGGTTGGTGTTCCATCTCCTCAGCAGCAATGTTAACCGTGGAGCACTTGTTGTTCTGCTGGCACGGCTTCGCTACGCGCAGCGAGTTAGACAGAATGCGTCAGACGCGGTGAATGTCATTTCTGCTCAGATGAAACCGAACCTGTACTCATAAACCGGGTGTTATCGTCGTCATTCTTGATATTTCCCCTGTCTCCTCGTGACCCTCTTGACTCTATTATGACGTACAAACCTCGAGTAGGAGAGTCCGCGTCTCGTCGGGCTCCTTCAATCAATTAATTCCCACTCATATCGGCGTGAGATCAACGAGCTATGGGGCTGAGATTCTGCATTCATCTGCTGCACGCTCGAACCGACGGCCACTGACGATGAAAGCAACCAAAGCTTGATAACGGAAAATCTGATAAGTATGAAAAACTGCGCCGATAACACGTGACTCGGGATCACTTTGTTCCGGCGACGTTTTTCAATCTCCACGACTTGATGGGTGTCGAGAAGTGTCTCCCCGTAACCTCAAGATGAACTCCCCTGATGAGCGTCTGAGTTTCGTTAATGAAAAATAGCGAGAACAGGTTCCGCCCGTGTAAGCGAGGGGTGAAGCATCGTTCGAGCTCCTCGACTGATGCATAGGGAAATTATTCGAATCTGCGCTTCTCTCGAGCCTCGGCCTCGGATAAGTTTCTCGAGCTGCTAAAAATACACCCAAAGGCTTAGACGACATATCATCGGGTCTGATTCGAATCATGCCAATGTCTCAGCATCGCCACAATAGTTGCCGTCTGATGCATATCGATCTAGAACGCAGACGAACGTGATTTCCATACTTTTTTTTGGGGTCGGGAAGGGCCTCTGCTGCACCGCGGTAGCAGTCTCGCCATCTGAAGAATTTCGTACCGCTCAAAATTTATCGCTCGTATACCCCATTCTAGTATGGATTCTGAGGGTGTTTTTATTGGAATGGATGGATGAACATCTCGGAGCTAACATGTATAATATATTATTTCATGTATATTATATCAAGCCTCCGGACAGGGAGCAATCATTTCAAAGTTCTTGGCACGGGCCATCCGCGATGTCGTTCCTCCAGGGACGACATCTCCGTTTCCCCAGTCGCTCGAACTCCACATGCTTGACATTATTCCAGATTTCTGATCGTCTCCTCATTCCAGGTTCGTGGACTCTGCCTCCGCTCGCGAGAGGTATTCTTGTCGCAGCCAATTCTGCTCGAACTCGAAGCTCCTCTGAAGATCTGCGGCGACGTACACGGCCAATATTACGACCTCTTGAGGCTCTTCGAATATGGAGGCTTCCCTCCAGAGTCCAACTATCTGTTTCTCGGTAAGCACCACAATAAGTCCTCGTCACCATACGTCTCCGATGCCAATAGCTAGTTGGATTTTTTCGATGGCTGTGAGATGTCCAGCGCGAACAGGCGTCCCATAGGATGAAGGGGTCGACATATTATCACCGCGCGAATAGTTGCGGTCCATTCGGTCGACATCGAGATATCATTCATTCAGTTTCGCTTCTAGTCTTGTGAAGATGCCACAGAACAAAACGGCGGCGTTGGTGGATCGCGCCACACTTGAAGCGACGCCTTCAGTCGGAGCGGAACCAGTTCATTAGTGCGACAGCACTGCTGACCTATCTGGTCCAGCGTCCTACACGCATCCTATTGTATGGCACGCTTCGATCAACGACGTCGTGAGGCCTAACCCCACGTGGAGAAATTTCAATTATCGTAGCGGAACCGATCCTGGAATCTTTGGGAACAGTAGCCAGGTTCTCCTCGAGTAGAGATGGCCGTCTGTCCCCAAGTCACAGATTGAATTTCCCCGAATTACACAGCTCCCTCTATGGCTCCGGGGAGGAGCGGATCATTTTGCGTGTGCGTAATCGTTCAGACACATCCGAATTCCGTACCGGATTGACCTTCTGAATATAGTGCTTGCCATATCGAGTTGCGTCAATTCGGAGCGCCCAAGATTTAAGCAGAAGCTTCCAGCTTCGACGACGTTCTGGAATGGGATCGCCATCGGAGAGCGTTACCATTTCTGAACGGAGCCAGATGAGTGCGATACTTAAAACCGACGCTTTGTGTGAGCTGACCGCAGCGACGCGACACCAATCGTGGCTCTAGGTGTTCTGACTCGAACTTTCCGCTCTTGCAGGAGACTACGTTGATCGTGGAAAGCACAGTCTTGAGGTGATTTGTCTTCTCCTGGCGTACAAAATCAAGTACCCAGAAAACTTCTTCCTCCTGCGAGGAAACCACGAGTGCGCCTCAATCAACCGTATCTACGGATTCTACGACGAGTGCAAGAGGAGGTGAGATTTGCTACGATCAGCTTTTGAGGAGACGAACGATTTTTTGTCCCGAGCATCTATCCTCAGGCAGCCTGGGATTCTAGCTGACTGAGACTAGACGCCTAATCAAATGCAGATCGAACTTGATCCACTGCCAGTGTTTCATACTTGCAAGAGATGCTCAACTTTCTCGTCGTTCTAGATACAACGTCAAGCTGTGGAAAACATTCACGGACTGCTTCAACTGCTTACCAGTGGCAGCGATTGTTGATGAGAAGATTTTCTGCTGCCATGGAGGTCTTTCCCCCGATCTGCAAAGCATGGAGCAGATCCGCCGAATTATGAGACCCACCGATGTGCCTGATCAAGGCCTGCTTTGCGACCTGCTATGGTCGGATCCAGACAAGGATATCATGGGCTGGGGTGAAAACGACCGAGGCGTGTCATTCACATTCGGTTCAGACGTCGTAGCCAAATTCCTGCACAAACAGGATCTCGATCTTGTGTGCCGAGCTCACCAAGTGGTAGAGGACGGTTACGAATTCTTCGCCAAACGTCAACTGGTCACCCTGTTCTCAGCGCCGAACTACTGCGGAGAATTCGACAATGCTGGGGCCATGATGAGTGTGGACGAAACGCTGATGTGCTCCTTCCAGATCCTCAAGCCGGCAGACAAAAAGAAATTCTCATTGGCCGGCTCGGCAAACAACAAGCCAGCTCCCGGAAGAAAATAGGAAACTTACCAAGACACTTCTGCAAGTAGGCTTGAAATGATTCCAAGTGATGCGTGCAGTCGTGCAGGGGATCATCGTGATGCCATCATCATCAGCTTGAACGAAAAAGGGGACTGAGAAATTATCGTTTTATTTCGATCCAACACGAGGAAGGAAACAAAAACCAGAATAGCAGCTGCGACAACAACAATATGGAGCGAGAATGGTAAACAAGCATAAAACGGCGTCGGAATCGGAATTGAATGAACGGACGTTTAATTTAGTTCTATTACCTCCCTTTGTCTCGGGACTGCGATAGCTTACAAAGTCATGATTCCCCCCTCAAATACGAACGCTTTGTTGGTTGAACGGTCGTTTGAATGATGATTGATTGGTTGGTTGACTGTTTGCCTAATTTCTCTTTTTTCCTTTGTCATCCAAACTTTGATACACACGTGCGGAATAAACGAAGCGGCATTCATCGCATGAAGCAGACGAAACTAAAAAAGAATGGATCATCCAATTTTCCGTAGACCGTCGCTGAGGGATTCGACGAGAACACGTCAACGGAGTTTACAATAGACAGGGATGTAGGACCGGAGGAAAAAATTGAAATACAAGGCAGAATCAGGCGAGAGCGCCGAACCCGGGGTTTCGGGTGGTTGGGAAAATAGGAAATATGTTGAGAAATGAACACCTACCTATATTATCAAACATCCGAAAAGACAGTTGTTTCACCTTTTATCGCACACCAGAAGCAGCAGAGCAGACCATTGAGAAAATGTGGGACAACAGAGGTGGAAATAAATTTTCATTCTGAACACCGGAATCTAACTTTCAAGCTTATCATTTTTCCCTCCACGACTCGACCGAGTCTAATGGGATGGAAGTGACGAAATGTCTGGAAGTTTGTGGATTCGCTCCGGGTCGAAACCTCGAATCAGCTGATCCTTGGTACCTCGGATCGGATGCCCGTCGCGCGTAAAACTCCTCCTTCGTCTATAATATTGAAACTTACTCACAACTTACGTAGATGACGTCTTCGCCTCCGTGATGAGTACTGATTTATTCATTTCGTTCTCCTCTTTTTCTGTCGACATACTTCCGGTATCCTTGGTTCAGTTGCCCATACACGTACGGATAATCGTAATCAGAGAACACATACAACGTCGAATGTTTCCTCCATGGCAGATCACGAGATCAATCCTCACGAAAAAAGAAACATAACTTGACCTGGATCTCGGGCAAGCTCAAAATAGGAAAGGCCCCGACTACGTGAGATGGCACTCGATTCCAGTCCGGAAGGCGGAGGATCTAAGCGAAATTTTCTGGCATACAGGGTTGTCATCCACTGAGCTGAAATACTGTCGATGAAAGACTGAAACCCGTTAGTGTCCCGCTTACTAGGTTTCTCGGTGCATCAGTTTCACCGTATATGAATCGGAGTATGATCATGCATACGTCCAGTGAGAGGGAGTCATTTGAGTGACCACTCAAAGATGGTCCTCCACTCAGCTAGTTGTGAAAATGAGAACTTATTTCACCACGACTTCTGTCAATGAGTCGCCATCAACAGGAAGTCTGACGTAGATTCGTCGTATGCAAGGGTGCGTATAAAGCATTTATAATACGCTGGCGATCTCTGCGGCGGAAGTCTCCCACCTACGCAGTCGACTCGAGACAGTGTCCCCTTCGAAAACCCGTGCATCGACTTTACTTCACTCCCCTCGCAATACGCGAAGCTCCGTCGTTTAATTATAGCAGGGGGAAAATTGATAGAATGCAGTCTCGGATAGGGTATGGAGAAGCGACCACAGAATACTTCACCATAAACGATCCCGGCACTTCAATCACTCAATCCGCGGCAAATCATTGGCAGGCTGAGGTGAATGCCTCTTCAACGGAGCCTCACGAACGGCTTCCCTACAGACATCCCTGAAGAAATCAGCGCAAACCCCCATGCCGAGTCATCATGACACCCTGAATTACGAGACTCTACGATTCCGAACATCTGAGGGAACCACCATGACGACAGATAGTTAGAATCTACAGAGAGAGCGACAACCAACTCATAGTCTAGCTTAGGAATTACACTCCGAACGAGCCTACGATGATGATACATTCTCTTCATCGGGCAAATAGAGCAGATCAACGAAGTACGTATAGAATGAGCGTGGAAGTCCCTCACTCGGAGAACTTCCCGACAGCTACTCCCCAGGCAGGAAACACGGAATTTTTCCGAGTGGAAACGATGGATGGTAGTCGGAGCGCTTTGAAGAGCGCGCGTACTTTTTCGGCGGCTTTTTCGAATAGAATAACAAATACGGCATGTGGCGCCGCAACACGAGCGATTGTTGACATCCTCCGAACTGCTCACGAAATGGGTGACGAGTCTGAAAAGGTTTGTCTCCGGCCATCACTTGACATATTCCGTTGGTCGACAAACGGAGAACTATTCGTAGCTCTCGATTCGATGATCCTGTGTTATTCTGACTTCCGAGTGTTCGACTGCTCTCGCCCACGATAGTGAGGTCGAAGTCATGAAACATGTCATGCCTTGATAGTGAACCGAAAATCTCGAATGTACAAGAAGACAACAAGGATAGCAAGGATATGTTATTTCCAATAATAAACAACACAATCGTTTCTACCCCGAGGATTCTTCCTCCGACAAGGAACTCCGCTTCCGGGGATCTGATCAGAGCTCTAAATCAATGGAAAGACGCGGGGCTCGACCCCGTTCGAGACTCCTGAAACACTCCCCTCTGCCCTCCGCAGATCCTAAGAGCATTTGTTGCAGGCAACGGAACCCGGACAGGGACAACGTTTAATATCCATAATTGTCCCGGTGCACAATGGAGAGAAATTCCTCAATCAGTGTTTCGACTCCATCCTGAATCAAGATTTCCCCCTGCGAGAGGTGCGTGCGCGACGTGATTCGAACGCTCAAGTTGCGTTAGGAGCTCGAGGTGGCTTTTTTATCGAATTTTCGCGATTCTCCTTCATCACATTTCCAACGAGCGCTGGTCTAGGTTGAAGTTTCAGTATGGAACGATGGGAGCACCGATGCGTCGGCCTCGCTGATCGAGAGCCAGAAAGTGCCCCTAGAAAGGGCTGGGATCAAATTGATCTCGGGGTCGGAGTCCGGACCGCCTAGAGGTTGTGGGTAAGCAGTTGCGAATATGGAGGGGGAAATTCCGCGTAGGAACTCGCTCCCGCAGAGACTGGTCCTCCGGGAACTCATCGCAATATTCTTCTCTCCAAGTTATGCGAAGAACAGGGCCATCGAGCAGTGCTCGGGGAGATATCTATGCTTCTTAGATGCCGATGATGAAATGTTGCTGCGGAGATTGGCGGCTCAGCTCTGCGCGGCGCAGGAGAATCCCAGGGCCATTGTCGGGTCTCGTTTCCATCGGGAACCCCCAGATTCAACAGTCCGATACTCTCGATGGGCCAATGATTTGCCGGCTGCGGCGCTAGAGACCCAGGTAGGACTTGGAAACGGAGCTGGATCCACTCTCAGTCCACGCGAAGTGCATTAGAATTTCGTCATCAGAAACGAGACCCCGCGGTGTCCACAGATTTACACCTCACATGGACCGACCGTGATCATGCCCACATGGTTTTGCTCGCGCGAGACTTATGAGGCTGTCGGCGCATTTTCGGAAGCCGGCCGTGGGACACCTGAGGATCTCATTTTCTTCTATCGTCACCTCGATCTCGGAGGCAGGATCGTTCGAGTTGATGAGGACCTTCTGATGTACAGATATCATCCGGTAAGGTATTCAGGGATTGGTTGACATTCCGTGGATTCTCGTCCGACAAGTACTACTCGTAACGTTGGCGTAGTTAATAGGTCGGCCCTTCCAGCATGCCACGACCTTCTCGATTCTCGAGGAAACGATTTGGAACATACGTTTGCAGCGTCTACAGCAGAAAGTATTGTCGAAATGGTCATCCTTCACGATATGGAATGCTGGGAAACAAGGTCGGAGATTCTACCGGACCTTGAACGACGAAAACCGGAGAAAGGTGAGATCGCTGAACGACTTGAGCAAGGATGGTGACCGATTGCGAGGGCACCTGCTGATCGCTGATTTTTGTTTTGTGGCGAAGGTTGTCGCTTTCTGCGATGTGGACGCCAAGAAGATATCGAAGGGCATATATATTTTCGAGGAATCGGCCACTACACCGAAACCTCGGATACCGATCATTCACTTCTCACACGCAAAAGCACCTCTCGTAATCTGCGTGAAGATCGACTTGACCGGTGGCGGCCTTGAGGAGAATCTCGCGAGTCTGCATCTCGAAGAAGGACAGGACTACATCCATTTCGCGTGATGGTCTCCCTGGCGATTGCTGGACAACTGAATATTTGCAGTCCATCGGACCTCAGCTCAGGAGCGAGCCCCGTGTTCCGTATCCGGATTCCCTGAGCTGCCGTGGCCTCTCGCGAAACCCTCTCAACTTAGGCAATGATCATGGGAAAATATGATTCTTTGATCAATGCTTGGAGTGCTCGTTCGGATAAGACAGGAAGAGGCATCGGAGCGGTGAGCGAGCTTTGAGCTGCTCCCGGAACATTCTCGTACTGCAGCTCTTCTACGGCGGACGAGTCTAATAAAAGAGAATCCTTAGCGGATGTTAGGAAAATGTAGATTCTGTTTTATTTCCTTCATTATACATTGCATCGCACCTTAGCTGATGAGATCGCCGTGCGAACCGCCCTCGACAGTGCGTTCCCCAGGATTCATATCACGGAGTATCGGTTTCATAAATCCTCATACTAAAAACTCATCTCCCGGAAAGCAATGAGAGTTTAGGAGCCTATACACAACAACATCTTTAGGATGGGAGCGATTCCAACTTTGAGTATTGAACGGCGGTGGCTCTGTTCTGGACGTTGAGTGCGAGAGAGATCTCTTTTAGTTATTCTGCATTGAAGTTATAATCAATGCGATGAATTCTCATGTCAAGGAATCCATGGAGGCAGTCTTGTATGACCGAGCCTCGAAATAACACGATTCCGTGGAAGAGCTTGAAACCTCGACTCACAATTAGTATTGCGTTCCTTGTACCCAGAAATTCTCCGGCACACTACTCATTCTACTGGAGCTTCTCACAATTCCGATGAGAGTAAGCAGGATGAAAGCGGAGTTGTCAACCTATCAGACAAGGGGTTCAGTGGGCTACATGGATCCCAGCAGTTTGAGGAGTCCCGTCCCAGAGCCAGATATCAATTTCTCTAATTCGGGCTTGCTCGAATCGAATCACCATTGTTTTCACTTCCCACGGACCGCTTGTCACACGGCCGGATGAAAATGAGACACATCGGAATAATTCCAAATTAAACCTCGGATACCCTGCCCTTAGGCACCCTATTTCTCTCTTCGTGGACCGTTCGATGTCCAGATATAATGATAATAATAATCGTCAGAGAATGTAAATCCCCATGAGGCCCATAGGTCAGAACTCATATATTATTTGCCAACGCCGAAAGTCCCATGATTTCCGGCTGCGCTGAGAGATGGCTCCGGAAACTCATCGAAGCGAAGGGGAATCATGGAGGGCCGCGCTCGCCGACACTCGATCAAGCTGATTACCGCATTGACTAGAGGGGGAGACCTCTATACGAGAATCTCGATAATCATCCCAGTACCGAAGTTGTTATTCCGATGATATAATACGATGCTGATAATTATACGTTTCCTTAGTTGTTATGTACAGATTGCAAATGATACTAGGTGTAAAGTTTTTCATGATCGCTGCTGCAATGATCAGCGAGAGTTCTGCTCCGCGAGGCGCTGTATTGCTCGACCTCCTCGAAGCGGACGCTTTCACTGATTCCTCAGGCAGTACGGCTCTTACTAGAAGTTGCTCATTCGACGAGAGTTTATCACATGGCGACTAGTGAGGGGCTTGTATTGTACAAAGTATTTCGCGAGACCCCCACAATCATCGAAATTCGCCGATTTACGTTGCCCTCTCACTCAGTCAAAATCTCACGCTATATCAGAAGAACCAGCGTCGCTACAGATAGATTCGACATGAGAAAATGTAGTACGGGACAGTCTTCCATGTTTCATGGGTCATAAGTCGTGAGTCATTACACATGGGAGCCTGGCCATGATCGGAGGTCACTATGCTCTTTCGGATGCAGTTGCGAGTTTCCATACGAATCGGCCCCACATACAATGTGTCGATCCAGTGAGGGTCGATCCGATCTCTACCGCTGAGTGAATTATGTGGCTAGGAGGATTAAGCCTAAGTAGATTGTGATATATATGAGTTTCAACGTCGACAGGGCCGGGCCGAAAGTTCCTTCCGATGGCATACCGGGACATGAATCCAACTTGAACACATTTCGTCCCGCCGTCATAATTCCACGTCTGCGTGTCATCATTCGTATTGCTTCGTTTGATGACGCGCGACGCCCAGAAAACATCAAGATAAACTTATTCATCGAGCTGCGAGCTCACGGAGAGTTGACGTGCTCAGCTTTTCCACAAATGTACATAAATTACATGAGATGCATGGATATCTCCGGACGAACCCATGGTTTGAGCTCATCGGGTATATCCGTGTAAAAATTCCTTCTAAATTCGGGGAAGTTGCCCAAGACCTGTGTCCTCTGGACCCTCCCCGGGGACTGGGCTGATGCTGCCGGATGAACAACATCTCGGCCGCTCGTAGGTAGAATTTTTCTCATCGCGCGACGCCACCGTCGACCGGGATCATTCCTTACAGATGTCGAAGTCCTGTCAAGTCGACGAAGCGGACTTGATCAGGATCAGATCTCCGATCACGCATGGGTGCCGAAATTCGTGATCACCGTATCACTGCGCTCTCGTAGCACCGCTCGGGCAATCCGATGATGGATGATTCCTTCATATCCAGAAACTCGAAACAATAGTAAGTGTTGCGTTTGTAGCCTTTCAGGAACTTCGATCGGGGAGTCCATCCGGCTGACTCATTTTTCCACCGGGTTCAGGTGATTTCCAATCAGTTTCCGTACTCAGACGGCATGTTGAGTTGCGAGAGGAAGATTGCGTTCTGCAGAATATTTGCTTGATCCTGAGATTGGTGAGAGTCATGGTGGGCGGGAAGCGCGCTCCCGTGATGGTCAGCGAGACCCGGCGTTGGACACAAGAGGCTCTCGAAACCAGGCGCTGGATCCATTTGTCCCGATGTAGGTTGGAAGTTCAGAGAGTGCACCGAGTGAGAATGATGTGACGATAGAATCTGTGGAAGAGGGGAGGGTTTCGTTATTTCCTGCTGGTTCGGCTCCTTTGTTCTGAGAGTGGGTGAGTGTCGTTCGTTTCCCGCTTACCTGGGATGGGGGCAATTGCTGGGTGTCCTCGTTGCAGTCCGAGGGAGGGGGCGTTTGCAATCCTTCGCGCAGGCATCTCACGGTTGCTTCTGCGTCTGAGGGTGACATCACTTCTCTCAGAGGCGTGTACTGAAATACAAACGTTTAGATGCGCTGTGCCCTTGACCGCCATCTGCCACTTAGCGTGAGGAGGGGAATTCCGGTCAATTCAATAGTATCGAGGGCGAATATGTCCGAGAAGAAACAAGGAACTTACGCCTAGCTCGTCGAGGTTGACGTGATCGTCAGACGGCGCTCGGTGCTGCTGGGAAGATGCGGTCGGAGCGCTCTCGATCGGGAATTCCGCCGTGGACGGAGCCGTCAGGAATTCAGAGGACGCGTTCTGCGATTGCTGGAAGTCCACCTGCATGAAGGTCGTTTTGCTCCGACTCGGTGGAAAATCTGCATCTCGAGGGACAAGGCAGTCTTTGTGCGTCACGGCGGACTCATTTGTGCGCTGCGGTCTCGGCAGGCTCCGTTTAGCTGCCCCACAAGCGCTTCGCGGTGAGTCCAGGTCGTGAGCTCCGGTCGGGGAAAACTCCAGCGGCGTGGAACGATCTGATATGCTCAGTGGTGAAGGGATCTAAAATTATTGATACAACCGGAGTCAGTTCGATGGCTCCAAAGAGCCTTCAGCAGGAGATGGTCTCCAGTTGACTTCTGCCCAACGTCATAATGTCCTGATGTGTTGACGGGGCTTTCTCAGGGCTCAAAGATGGCTCAAAAGGAGAAGGAATCCCAGGCAGATGACTATGGGCGCGGACAGTGAGAAGATTGCACTTACGTCGAAGTCAGATAGTTGAGAGTGAGCAGGACTCGAGCATGAGCTCAATGTTGACGGCGTCGGATATCCGAGGTGAGGCTGTTGTGGATTACCCATTGGAGGCATCAGTGTAGTTTCAGCTGTTCGACCAGGACTTCTCGCCGCCGGACCAATATCTTTGAGGCCCAGTGCTTTTGTCTGGAAAGGCAAGAGAATTTTCGCTTTGTATGAATTTGCATGATCAAATATTCATTCAGGCCGATTTCGCACTGTTGGCATGTCGGATAATGGAAATGTGTTGTCGGATGCGACGACAAAGAGACTCAGTGAAGCACATCATAAGCCTCTGTCATCAAAATCCGTGAAGCGCGGCGACGAGGGACAGCCGTTGAAGTTGCCAATTGGATAGCTTGCTCATTCTGTGCTACTTACATTCAATGATCGGGCGTCTGCCATTTTTTTATACAGCTCCATAGATCGTACTTCTAGTTCTCTAGTACCGAATCTCACCTTCGTCTCTCCAGCTGTCTGAGCGGTTTCCTGAGGTTTCGGGAGGATTGGCCGTAAACGCGCCACCCTTGTACTCAGCGTTGTACTTCCCGGAGCCACTTGAGCTACAACTTGAGTCACGGTAAAAGCTGGGTCCACCCCTCCAACAGCTCCGACTCCCCCAGCTAATACGGTGACCAGCTGTTGCAAGGAAGGAACCACCAATGGCGGACTAGCGGCCGGCGTTGAAGAAACGCTGGAGGTCCGTGCGGGCATCTCACGTTCGACCGGAGAATGTGTCTTCTTGTCGGCAGACTCGCTCCCTGGAATTTTTCTCCCGGCTGCGGCATCTTCAAGAGCGAAGTCTTCCGACGGTTTTTGGCACCGTTGGGAATCGTCGGTGTCTGAGCTACGGTTAAGTCTCCCGCCGATCTGGAATCAGAAATTCTATCGTGACTCTCGGAACACGCATCAGAAGTAGGTACCTACATATTAGGCCGCCACTCGGAAAAAGACGATGAGCTGGGGAGCCTGGTCCGCAAGCTTTCTCTACCCGACATGATATTCTAGGACTTGTTCTTGGATATCACAACACGATAGGAGACATGTACGCGAGGAGGGAATATTCTAGACCTAGAATTCCCTGTGGTGATCTGGCGAGAAGAGACGACATCGATACTGCTATCGATTTTTCGCCGCGCCAAGCGGTCTCAGCGGCGAGCGCCGAAATCAATGAATATCGTCGTCAAGTAGTCGTAGTTCCCTCGAACTTCGATATCAAAACGAACCGGCTCTCTTCTGGCTAATGATTTACGGGAAGTCGACCATCAGATGCCCTGTTCTCCAGCGGTCGATAGAGTCTTGCTTCTTTCGTATTCCTCTCAGCAGGGCAAAACAATTTGCTCCCCCGGTCGTTCTCGGAGTATTGAATTTCACAAAGGAGCCTGATGTACCGAGACAAGCAAACATCAAACTTGTCGGAGATGGACTTGACGACGGGCCAGAGATCGTTTGTCGATCCGCTAATGATCTCAGCTGGGCGTTTTCAGAACGCGTCAAACCCCGCCTCTTGTCGCAGCGAGAAACTTCTGAATACTCTGATGTTGTTGTTGTTGCTGCTGCTGCTGCTGCTATTGAGCCATTCTTCTTGCGATCGAGCGGACTCCTTCAATCAATCCTCTTCCTTTCGTTGCTTCCTCCGTGAACACAGACTCAGATCCGGCGCGTTGTGTCTAATGCGATTTTGATGAGTTATATTCTCCTTTCGTGGATGTGGCACGCGGCAGGAGCAACGGTCACATCGGGCGATGTCTTCAAACGCCGACCGAGAGACGAAGGATCGACCGACAAACATGGGAAGACATTAGCAGGGACGAAAGGGAACCACGATCCGCTAATGTCTCTGTTCGCCTGGCCCATTGATCCGCGTCAGCTCTCGGATCGAACCACGAATTCAACCACGGGCTCTCAAGAACGCGAGCCTCAGATTGCAAGACACGATTTCTTCTTTATCGTTTTCGAGCGAATGGTCAATGTCTCTGGTCTTCCTATCGTGGCCGTCGACATCCGACCGAAAAGAAGGCTAAAATCATTCGTTTCTGCACACCGCGATCCGGTGTTCGCAGAGCACCCCACCGTGAACATTCATCCATTTACTTTTTCATCGAAGCTTCCATCGGCCCAAATGCTGCCGCCGCCGGCGCCGCCGACAAGCCTTGCTCTGAGCTCATTGTTAACCTTCTGCTGTCGGCTGACAGAGTGCGCGTTTCCTTCGTAATTAACCTCCTTCTCCTTAAAGCACAACCGAGAATGAATTCGCGGCCGGACACAAGACGAAGTTTCTCGAATCATTTCAATCGATGAGCGAAATCGGCGAACGGCGCCCGAGCCGTCAGTCATTTCCCCACCGAGCGTCCTTAACCCTAACGGATGGCACTGTTTGATGAGGCGGGCTGGATTAGAATTCGGGATAGAATTCCGGAATCGATCGATCGTTACGAGGCGATATGAGGTATCGGATGTTGCTCAACCATGTCGGTAAGTTCTGTGGCGCGATGGTGTCATTGAAAAACAATCAGCCGTACCCGGATAATAAATGATCCCATACGGGTGATTACGATTTTGACCCGTGAAGGTTCGACGACGACACCGTCGGAGGCGATGACGATAACCGGCAAGAGCACAGGACATCCGGCCGCCTTCGACGAGGTGCAGAAGGCGCAACGACAGACATCTCCGTGTTTGTGATGCGTTTTTTTCTCTCGAAGAATACCTGGTTGCCTCGTCCCACGAGCGATAGACTGGCGCATTTGCGGAGAAATCGTAGCTGCTAAAAACATGTGGTGTCGTGGTGGATGCCATGTGAGAGATGCGTCGCCATACTTCTGTTACGGTCAAATTTTTGATTAATGTTCACTCGATGTGTGGTGACGATGCGGTCGCCACCACCGCTTCAGATGAGGATGATGACGAGGGGAGGTGTCATCCGAGAAAGACCAAAGACACCGCAATGCAATAAATCTTCACCATCTCGGGCAGACACAACCCCGTCTGTCTATGCTCTCCCTCCGAGGGCTCTCAATCCAATAGGACCCATCTAGCACAGGATAAGGTGCTCCGAAGAGAAAACATTCCCTCGCATCATGAACAGAGATCCTAGATCCGACTTCTCGACGATCCGCCGACCCTGCCGAGACAACGGAGCAGGTGGAGCTCGGTCGGTCCCGATATTCGGGAAACAGTGTCGCACTAATCAAGACTGTTTTTTTTCTCGGTCCTGAGAATGGAGGGCGAGTCGGTAGTGCGATGCCCGGAGTCCGTAAGATCCTGAGCCGTCATACGGAGATGCGATTTCTCGAGAGTTATTCTTCGGGGCTGACCGAACGTCTCCGGGAGCCTCACTCTGCTCCGTCTACAGTCGCGGCTTTGGGGTCTTATCTCTTAGGAACAAGCTTCCTGCAAGGGCATTATTTTTTGGCCCTCGCTGATATCACTCCGAGTCTGGGTGTTTCCCGCCTAGACGGCAAAAATGACGACATTCGTCCCCGCGCGGTATGAATCAAGCCACGGTAACCGAATCAAGCGGTTCTCTCTGGCCTTCCGGACAAAGTCACGGGATAAAAAAGGCATTGCTCGTAACATAGATATCGCGGCGACTATGTCGTCCAAGATCCGGGCGGAGCAGAGACGTTTTCGACATTGTATATCACGTCATCCGGGGAGCGCGAAGGTCCGCTAGCGCCCCATTGCATTTCGAGGATTTGCTCGTGCTCAACACGCAGCGGGCACGTGCGAGTGGGAGCAATAGCTCCGATGTCGGCCGATCGAGCTCGCATGCGAATTGGCGAACTCGTCGGTGGGAAGGACGAGGAATGAGCCAATTTCCAGCCCACCATCAGCCGCGGCTGAGAGGAGAACGGAGCAGGCTCCAACGGGTCGACCCGCTCATATTTGCCGTGAGGTTAACCTGATCCCCAGTCCATTTATTCTGATAACTGCCACAAGCCGGCGGAAGAGAATGGGTTTAGCGAGCTGCGTACCTTCACACAACGGGAGACCCAGCGAGATATGGCGCACCTTATGAGCCACACAAGCCGTAACGTTTTCATCCAACGATTTGAGCTCAGCTTTCGTGCTACGACTTTCCCTCAAGCAGAGAATCCAACCCGGATTGGGAACCCACTCCAGCAGAGGCACCGTGATTCGAGATCACACGAAGCACAGCTCCTCGCGAAGAAACGCAATGGCTAGAGAAGAAACTACTACTCTAAAACTTCTTGCTCGATCCTACTCCCCCTCGGATGGAGCCTGTTCTCCGTTTGGTGTTCTCTTCATCAATCAATGGCCCTCGAAGTTTTTTCGGATTCATTAATCATCATCGGGCCGCTCTCGCTTTCCCTCTTTAAGCACATTTTGAGCCGGAGGCGGTGAATATCACCGAAAGGAGATTTCGTGCGAGCTAGCTCGCGTTGAATGCTACATTCTCGTTGGAGCTCCGAGCGGAGCTGCTCCGTGAATGTTGAATGCGAAGAACAGATTTCGACGGGAACTCCAATGGGAGATTCGCAAGAGTCGCGACGAGCGCATTCAGCAACGTCAGTTCTCACGGCGGCACGGCTGTGTCTTCCTCAAGAGGATTCTGCACCCAAGATGAGAATATCCACGACGATCACCGATCAAAAATCGAAAGCGAAGGAGATGAGATCTATCTCGGACACAGGCATCCTGAGTAGGTACCGCGCTGGACGCCCGCTTCTGGGCTTCCAGGAAGCCCAGATACCCCTCGTACTGCCAGAAAACAACGATTTTTATTTAGGTTATAACAAGTAATAATATTGGGATGGGCAAAAACAGCCCAACTATCCCACACCAGGCAGTCCGTCCGAATGCCATACTGCCAGAATGTCCCCGAAAAATAGCTCCTCGGGAACAGCAAGAAATTCCCTGAGAGCTCCTAATGAGCTCGGCGGCTCACGGGTGCCGCGAAGAAAAACGTTCGAATATCACTGATCCAGGGCAATAATTGGTCTTCTTTCTCTCGTCTGGCAACTCTGCGACAGGGGCCCTCGCTCAATTATTATGCTCGGCTTGCTATTTTCGCGACCGGATGTCGTCAACGAGAGCTCGCTGAATTCAGCCCCGTATAGAGGCCGTATGAAGGCTCGTTCTTCTCTATCGGAAACTCGGCTCTGTGGTCTCTGAAGACATCCGGACATGATGGCCAAGACATTCGCTTCCCCGTTTCCGCATCGGGGGCTATATGGTCGTCGGGATCTCCGTACTCGCTTCGTTCTGATTCGTTTATCCCGAATGTGACACCCTCGCTGCACAAAGCGGCGTTTCCCGGGGACTTTAGCATCGCTCGAAGCAAACAAATGCTTCTGTCGGATATCCATGCGGAGACCGGCGCCGCTTCAGAGACACCTTCCGCGCACGAGCCAGGTTCATTCTCCATCCTCTGTCTTTCTTCGATGAGACTTTTTTTGGCAAGACGTATTCGTCGGAGGAATTCCTAACATTCGATGATACGGAATGCCCAAGTCATTGGATCACAGTCTGGCTAATGTGTGATTGATGATTGCGAATAAAGCAGGGTTTTGGGTCGATTTCGTGAGAACATTCGAGTGGGGAAACATTCAAGTGGTGACGAACAAGAAGAATCGAGTAGCCGTCGTTCACGGGGAGCCCGCGGACGAGTTCGCACCTCTTTTATTGGTCAACATGATCAGCAAGCCGATCACAAGCCTGAACGATAACACATCCATCCGTCTGTGGATCAGAGCGATCGAGGCGAAGTTTTCGGAGAAACGACCTGTTCAGTCGGCTAGAGGCTCGAGACTCCGTAACGTATCCTGAAAGCCTACCCCGACTGGATGTCCGCATACAAACAGTCGTCGACATTCACCGAACGTGTCCCGCAAGGCTTTCGTCCATTTACCTGCTGTTGAAGTTTCTTCTTCTGTTGAACGCGTTTCTTCTGCCGTTCTCGCATGTCCTGCAGCCGCCTCTCGCGTTCCTCCTCCGACTCATTCCTGCGTCTCTCTGCTGCGTACGCAGCCAATTTCGCTAGACGTCGTTTTCGTTTCTCGGGAGTCTCTTTTTTCCTACAATAGTCATTCAAGTCGTCAGTTCCGACTCGGTCTATATTCACGTGCTGATTTGAAGCCTCAAAACGCTTGGCGAGGCCCAGTGCAGTGAAGACGAACTCACCTTGCCATCCGAGCTTTCTGAGCCTGCCGGGATCTCTTATCTTTCAGTTCTTCCGGGGACAGCTCAGACACGCTGACGCTTTTGCTCTTCTTCTTTTTCGAAATATTACTGCTGTTGTCCTTCGGAGACTCAGGATCGAAGCGATGCTCAAAGGCCTGTTTCTTCTCTTCCAAGCCTTCGCTACGAGAGGCCGAAATGGACCCGGCGCGAGATCTCGTCGATAACTCCGAGCACGTAGACGCAATTGAAGGTGTCGGGGTGCCACAAACACTCCTCAAATTCATTGGTGATGAACTAGCGGATGAGGCCAGGAAGCCATTCTGCGGTGAGTTCGATTGGACAAAATTTCCGCCGAACGTCACCGAGGGCGTTTGGGGACTGACGGCGATTGAAAAATTTGTCGGCGTTGGGTTCACCGCTGGTGCGACATTCGTCAAGCCGCATTCGATGGACGAGCAGCTTTTCTCACTGCATTGGATATCTTCGCAGCAGAAGGAGCCTCTGAGCGCGACGCAACCGCTCTGGAGCTGGCCATGGCTGCGCACGACCTGCTGCGAGCAGCAGATGCTCCGAGAAGCCGGGCACAGACTGCCCTTCAGACAAACGGTGTTTTCCGGGGCGTTCTCGTATCCAGCAGGTTGTGGGGTCCCCGGAATGGGCGATGGCGTTCCAGCTAACTGCGGGGAAGCCACTGAGGTTTGTGCGAAAGGCGAATGTGCAGCAGCGTTGCCCTGAAGAGAATCTGATGGGACTACCTGCGAAGGGCTCTCCAAAGACGAGAAACACTGAGATGACGGAACGTGTTGGCCCAGAGTTGGGACTTGACCCTCGGAACAATTAACTCCTAGGATAGGCGTCGATTGATTGTTGATAATGTGGTTTGCGAGTTGCAGTTGCTCGAGGACGTCGCTGTTCGCGAACATAGCGCTTCTTTTCTGGGTCTGAATCGCTTGCGCCTGAAGAGCGTCTCCGCCCGAGGCCCCGACGAGGTGTTCGGCATTAGCCTTGAAAAAATCGAAGCACACCAGGGGTTTACATCTGAAAGGAAGAAAGAGGGATTTCTAGTTTCAATACCGTTCATTCAGCGCTGGGGTAACGGCTACGGACTAGGTGGAGTTGATCAAACCGACGAATACCCAGCGCGCCGTCCACCCACCCAGCAGCCAGCCCAGCTGGCTTGCTGACCGGCTCGCCGGATAGCCACGGAGCTCGGGAGCGATTAATCTTGGTCAGCATCGAGTCTTAAGTTAATTACCACCTCTGCCTTCGATAGTCGCATGGAATGACACGCTTGGATCCCACGATTGTGAGCCCGACCCACTCGCAGCCCTTCGAAATGCCGTCCCTTCGCCCCTATACACCTGACTCCATTACTCAAATGGGGACAGCGAGCGGGCGAGCAAGCGAGTGAACACGGAGACTCCCATTCGGAGTCCTATGAGCTACAATATGTCAACGGTACGTGTTTCCGGCACGGAATACGAGGTGTGCTCGCAGATTCATGACACCTGACCCGCCTCAGAGCACCGAAGAGGTTGAGCCGCGGATTCCGTTCATTCCAGCCATATCCCCTAAAAAATATCCCGAGCCGGGATCAATCCCTGGATCATCGTTTGGCTCCCTCCACCTATCACGCATAATAGATAGAAAATGTCCGATGAATGAACGAATGAAAGAATATGAAAAAGTTAATGGAATAAATATGATTGAATAGGTAGGAGAATCTTTTGGACTAGTGGACCCATATGAATTGAGCAGTCTCGAGAATATTGGTCCGCATCACCAGCGCGTCCTAAGTTCAGGCCTCGCATGCGAGCTCGCACAGTCTACGGAGGCTTTAAACAACTATATCGTAGTACAAGGCTCACCGTACACGACTTGTTCGTATGTTGTATTTCACGTCGTTATGAACTCGCTTCGCGAGTGGCTGGTGAGCGACGCACCCGGTTAAGTTAGGTGCGACGGACAAGTCGACGTGTCATCCGCCAGCTCTATCGGAGCCACCCGCAGTGCTATAGGTACAGCCAACGGAATGTAGCAAGCGAGTCTCCATCCAGTGGGGATGGGTGGAGTCGCAGAATCTCGCATACAAAATCCTCTCGACCAGACCGACGGTTTTTCATCCATTTCTATGATCACATGCCAGTGAGCAGAGATCTCCGAATGGAAAGTAAAAGATGATCCCGACGCGCTATCCCCGTGCTTCACAGAATCGGGCTTCCTCTCCGCTCGACCTGCTGTATCATATGTAGCTCTTGGTCAGACGGGGATTCTCAGGTGAGACGAGGTCAACGCGAAACTTCTCTGCTCAAAACAAAAACAGGACTGGACACACGATAAATGGCTCAGCTGCAATAACATAGCGAGGAGATAATGGTGCGGCGTTCGATGCGAGACCTGAAATCCGCGGAGTCGGAATTTCCTCTATGTTTAAGAGGGGCGAACAAAAAACCCGGATACCAACGCTACGTGTCATACGAGCGAACAGAAAGTGCGCGCAGTACACGCTAAATGGGGTTATTTGTTCCGTTCATTCTAATTAGGGTCACACCGAAATAGGAGCGGAAGGGTGAGCGATCGGTGAAAAAAAGACGGGGATATAGAAGCAACGGGAGCAAGTGAGTGGAACAGTGGAGCAAGCATTCAGGCAGTAAGCCAACATCGTCCTGCTAGCGAAAGGAAGACGCCTCGGATCTCCTTGTTCCTTCCACCTTGAGCCAACATAAATCACAGATCCCTGAGGAGCTCTGCAGTCAACCACCCCGTAAGGAGAGGAGGAATTTCGCCTCACGAGACTCCTCCGCAGAAAGGCTTCGAGGGTTGCATTCGGGGCGAAGGATGAGACGCACACTTGCAAACGAACAGGTTCTCCTCGCTAACGGAGACTACAAGCTCCGGGCATAAATCTTCAATCAGCACTCTTTTTTTTGCGTCAAAACCCGAGCGGGAATTTTATACATCACCACACTTTGTGCGAAAAAGACTCGGAGCCCGGATTCAGCTGAGGGGGACTGGACTGCTACCGAGGTCAATCGGAAGAAAGGAAAAAACTATGAGCACCCTGAGTGAGTCAATGAACCGATGGGAAGCAATCCGGACGGGAATTCATTTCGACGGACAAGAACAATCGACGCAATGATCTCCGTGTTGGGATGTGTTAATCAGTTGCCAAGCCGAGCTCCCTCCGGTCGCCGCAAGATCCTTTTTTCAAATTAATCCTCGCCCGTTTTCCCGGACCGAATTCTCATTCTCTTTGACAAGATCCCTGTCTCGGCAAGTCAATGGATGTAATCGAACACGGGGTGAAAGCGAGGAGGATCTGAGCCGTCGACGACGATAAATGGCTTCACCTCTCGTCTCGCACTTCATCAAGGAATCGCTCGTGTCCCGCTAAAGACACCGAAGCCTTGCCGAACATTCTTTCCCCAGGTCCCGCGCGACACTTGTTCCCCCTCCCCTCCCCCCGCTTGTATGGCACCCACATTATTCAGCTCTGACAGTGAGCTAATCAGAACGCTTCAGGAAGAACAACTATCGAACTCCGCTCATCCGAAGAATCCGACTCCGCACTGGAGCTGCAAGCCGACGCTGTTGTGTTCATGTTTCCCCGGACGTTCCGTACCGGGATCTGGGTTTCCCCCTTCAAGGACTATAATGAGAATCCGTCGCGTTCGACCGGTGGATTCTCGGTGCCCAATTATTCTCTACCGAAATCGAAAGTTCGGGATCGGAGCCCGTCCAGCTGAAGCCTCGTATCGTGGCGGGGCATCGAACGCTTCTGAGAACTCCGAAGAAGACTTTCACTCCCATAGCCTATCAGGTGCGCGCAGTCAGCTTCGAAATTCTCAAGTGAAAGCCCATATTAATCTTCACGTTAATTCAGAGAATTCCCAAATCAGTGGGAAGTAGTTTAGTTTTCTCTGAGTCAGTAGTTCTCGGCCAGAGGTACAGTTGCGCCGCGGGTGGTGGCTTTCACTTTTTGTTCCAATCTTGTGACGGCCTCGAAAAGTGAAACGATGCTCCGCGATACGATACACCCTCAGAATAAACCCACATAGCCATCGTAATCACCCTTAATAGATGCTCAGATAGCGATAAACCAGTTTGCGAGGGCTCTCTCTTTCCATCGCCGTAATCAGGCAAGCTAGCCAGGGCACGGAGAGACCAGAAGCCGATGGGCTAGTTCTGCCCGACGGGATCTGCGTTTAGAGCTCATCAATCCGTCCATCCATCTCCATGTGCGGAAGAAAAAATCGCGATCCGCATTCGATGATAGCGGTGGAGGCGGCTACCTCTTCGCCAAATCACAAGGGCAAGGCGGTTCACTTCACTGTAGCAAACATGTTGTTCAGACTGATAAATGGTTATTATCACTCGAGTATGCTTCTGAATCCCATTTCAATGAGCGATACAGCGGCGTGCTTCTAATGATGCAATCTTCTTCTTCTTCGTCTCTCGCTTGTCGGCCGTCACACGAGCTTTCGAATCGACGGACGGCTCGCTGCATCCATGCCGCAGGATGGCATTGTGACACCAAACCGACGACCGAATGTTCTCACGGTTGCTCTCGCTTCTTTCTGTCGGGAGACCGGACCGGTGCTAGAAAGCGTACCTGGTTCGTAAGCATCATCACGGTTCGAACTCTGAGGTTGTTCGGGTGACTTGCCGCTCGCTCGTTCGGTTGGCCGATCGGTCTTCTCGATCGGTCACAAGAACATCATTAAGAGCACCAAAGGCGAAGTCTCATTCAGGCATCATCCATCTCACTCTCAGCGAGGTGTCATCGTCTTCAGTATGATTTTGTCCGGGGCTCGCAAACACCCTACGTCTCAATTAGGCAGTTCTTTCCAAGAGACGTGCGAGGAGAGGAATTCGTGGCGATTTCCTTCCAAAACTCAAATCTCTTCGAATATTCCTCGGCCCACGCCCTACACGACCGGCTTATCGCTTCGTATGTATCTAAGCTTGGCAACCGAGATGAATCTCCCAGCGATATGTCGACCTCAGTCAGCGGTGAGACTTACGGATATCCGTGAACGTCGTGAAAGCTTATGCTCGGAGTGAAACTTGGGAACGAAGAGCCATCCGGGACTGTCAGGAAGAGACATCTGTCCCGCACGGGAATTGGATCCACGGAGTTCCAGTTGGTCTGGACGAGGCTTGCGACATTGCAGCCCAAAACCAGTGGAGTCAGAGCTTCGGCGCCGACCAGAGTCACAAGCCCGCTCATGGATCGAGAGCTTACTCTTCGAGGGTACCCGTGAATGACTGCTGTATCTCGCCGGTCTGGCGACCATTCGATGTCGAACAAGAGGTGTTCGGAGCCCTCTAAGAGGAGAGCGCCGCCGTAACAGAAGGTACGAAGCAGAAAGCGCCAATTCCATGGCGCGAGAAAGGGTAGCAAATTCTTCTGAGTGGTCTCGATGTCCATTCAAGGACCGCTCAGAGATTCGTCTCCGTGTAAAATTCGCGGAGAACCGAGTGAGGGAGACTGGCTCGAGGATAAAAGTCGTGGACCGATGATGGAGTTAAGATCTCGCTTCCCGGGCATTCGTACACTTCCCGGTCGGTTTTGGTGAAAATAATCAAGTCGTCCACCGGTTCGTCCATCTATCAGAAAGGGGAGGAAGAATATTCATGATCACTTACCGAGCCTCCGAATCTGCCCATTGTTCGGCACTGGGCAGGAGGATAGGGTGCAGTTGTTGGAAGGCATTGCCGCTTTGAGCATTGAGCTGCTGTAGCTGCTGTAGTTGCTGGAGTTGACTGATGTTGAATTGACTGAGCGATGCCGTGGGCAGAAAAGGACCGCAGGAAGACTGCAACGCTGGCAGCGCGCTTTCTATTGAAGCCGCGTGCCCATCGAGATTTTCGAGCACGGAATTCAGTGCCCTCGCCGCAGTCGCACCGGAGCCGCACTGAAATAATGAAATAGGTAAGACTCTGTTCCGAGGGAGCGTGTTTGCGAGGCACTTCACTCCCTGGGGTATCGGAGCTACGTATGAATATTGATACCTCTAGGGCTTCATCTGAGAGGCGATTGAGCATTTCCCGAAAACACACTCCAGAATTACTACCGAGGGTAGCTGTCGCGCCCTAGGCCATGTAAAAATCTCTGACAGATCTTATGTTTATCGAAACCAGGAGATCTCCGAGGCTCTGCTCAGGGCTTATGGACTCATGGAGTCTAATGAGATGATCTGCTCCCAGATGAAGTTAATTCTCCATTCGGGGTTCATGCTCCGCAACTCGGTCCCGTTCATGGCTCTGATCGGCAATGAAATTTTGAACGTTCAAGCGTCCAGCTGTCCGGTGAACGGACCACCCGATCATCGTCCGTTTCTGGCGCTACAATTCCGTCGTCTGTCTGTTTTTTGTTCTTTTCCCTTCCAGATAATGCCGTGCCGCGGCCGTCGAAGCGAACGAGGAGCGGCTTCATTTTTCTCGCTGCCTCTTCTCAGCATCTCGAACTTCGAATCGAAGCAGCATGGACGGACGCTTCGCTCAACAACGCTTGTAGCCGCGAGTTGGCTGAACGGCTCACTTGCCAGTCGAGGTGCCTCCAACGGTTGCTTAAAGGAGGAGCTTCGCCTGTTTTTTTTTCTCGTCGTCGTTTTCGGGTCGGCTCCGCTTCCAGCAACGAGTCGACTGAAGAAGCATACGGACACGAGACGAGCGAGCGCTGATTCCGATTTTTGCTTTCGTTCGAACACCGTTCTTCGGGTATATTTTGATCTTCAGTAGCGAGATGGGAAGAAACGAAACTCTGAACCGAAGTTCGCCCTGCGGAAATCTATGATAAATGGCACAATGACGTACGAAGAGAGAGAGAGGAGCGCCGAGGAAAGTAGGAGAAGGCAATACGCCAAAATCCAAGCGTCCCACGACCGTCAAAGGCACCCCTGGGCTTTCGATTTGTTGGCAAGAACATCTTTGTCCGATCGATTATAACGTTTTCGAGACACTTTGAAGGTGTGCATGCGCTTCCTTCGACGGACGCCCCGAACCTTTTCGACCCGGCGCGGGAACCGTGAGAGTAACGAACAAACGAGCAAGCAAGCAGACAAACGTAGAAACAGATGGGTTTTTTCTGTGCAACGATTCTGCCTTGAGATCCCCATCATTGCCGAGACAAGGGTAGAGCGCGTCAGGCCAAATGAAACTTCACTTCATTGAGTTCATTTTGACTGCGCCAAGAACTCTCGAACTCTCGACCCGTTTCTCCATTTGCGACGGAGCGAAGATTCGAAAGCTCCGAGCATGTCGATTGACGCGTGCAAGCGACACCGGTTCATTCAAGCTGAAACATTCCGAACGATTCGACGGGTGAGTTCCACAAGGTGATGTTCGAGCGGTTTGAAACCACATAGCGTTCCGACTGTGGTGTTATCGACACCCGCGGTAGATACCTGAGGAACGGCCGGGAATGCATCATCGACGAAGCGTTACCATCGGCTGAAATAGTAGACGGCGCGATGCGACGACCCGCTACGGTTCTACTGGGACAAATTGTCCCTCGGAACAATGTCCGTTGCCCCCGATTTCACTACACAGTGAGGTCGTCAGAGAGTCTCGGAGCAAGAATTATAGTCTTCGACTCGAATATGACGGACGAAAGCCTCGCTGTGAGCAGCCTGTCGATTTGCAGAGCGTCAGAAGAAACTCGTGATCCCGCGCAACAATTCGTGGTCGTGATTAGTGATACGTGTCCGTAGTACGTAGGCGTGGGACGACGGACATTCCAGCGGGACACAGTGTCGCGACGCGGTACTCGTTACACGGCTTCCGCTGACACGAGGGTAGCTTGTCGTTCCGAACGGAATTCTGTCGCAAATGAAAGCTGTGAGTTCCATCTCTCACAATAATGTCGAGTAACGGTGAAGATCGGCCCATTATATTCGTAGTGACCACATTCAGCGTTCCAAATGTTGTTGACCTTGCTGCGCTGCCTGTGATAAGAACATTACAAAACGCCCTGATTTGATAAGGTGGTCGACGCGGCCCCTGGTCATTACAGAGAATTATAGCAGTCGGAGAACACACCTGGTGCTCTGTCATAGGATGCCTCTAGCCGGCCAGAGTTTGCACGCACACATTTTATGAGCGACGGAATCGTGATGTTCACAGAAAATTCGTAGCGCAATTCATTTAAGGATGCGAAACTAATTCGAAAAGAATCGGTCGAGCCGCTTCTGCTGCGTGAGGTCATTTGTTGGATTCGCACGTCAACGAGATTTGAAGCGAGCGACGGGCGAGACGTCAATATTTGATGTCATCACCGTCATCATCTTTATCTTCGGCTGTCGAATGATCGCTTCCGAACGGGGGGCAAACGCGGAACGCTGCGGTCGATGGCCCGATGGGCTCGAGGGAAAAGGTCGTGCTTGGAGCTCATATTCGAGAAGACGAAATAATGCGAGCTGGTGCGGCGTGAGCCGATTCCGCTCCATGCGCGTCAATCGTAATCTTGGACGGCACGGTCCAAGCCGCCACTTTCTCATTCGGATCAGATATACGGATTAGGCGCTCGAAATTGCATCAGCAGCAAATCGTCGCCGATGCGAGTGCGGCATTCGGATGATCAGGAGGGAACAAGCATGCCGCAATGCGAAGTAATGCACCGACAGGCGTACCGATGAATTGGTCTTCACTGCGGGGAGAGAAAAAACGATCTCCCCCTGCAACCAGAATCGTTGCCGAGGCCGCCGCGGTCGTCTCCGTCGTCGTTCCGCCGAAGGAAATTCCGAACGTCCTTGAGACGAGACGGGAAAGCCGCCCGCTCGCTTTGACAAATGTCGTCCCTTCGGGCTGTGCACCGAACTGGACGGACCCAAGTCGACTTTTTAGCATAAGCCCACTCCGGAGGAGTTCCGCCGATGTACGTATGTTTCCTTTGCGCTCGAATCGTGGCGTGCGTCCGATTCAATTCCGCGGCTGTCATCCGTACCCCTAAACCGGGGATCGTTGTCCCTCATGGAAATCTCATCCCTCGCTCCTTGATCGCAACAAGGACCCAAGAGGATTCAGGTGGACTCGAAATTCCTTTTTCGGAATAGCTTCCCCGTGAGGACCGGTTGAGAGTAGAGAAAAGGGAGGCAGGGAAGCTGCAGGTGGGATGAGCTCTGCAGCAGCGTATATAGAGCGCACTTGTACTTTCAGCCACTTAGGATCCATCTCTTCGGGGCAAGAAGAGCAAGGGAGACATCATTACGTGGGAGCTTCGGAGCGAGGCAATGACCCCATTTACCCGCAGAGCTCCCGTGTCTACCTGAGGCCAGCACTCGAATAACCCTCAAATGCGCCATTTCTCCAGACCCCAAGTGCAAGGCATTGCGTCAATGATTCTCTGACTTACTACTCGGTTGACGACTCTGCACGCTCGAACATATTCACGGAGCTTCCCGGGGCGGGAGAAACTGATTCGTATCCGCGGCCAATCTTGGATCGTGATTGGGCTCATTGAGATGTGAAATACTACTTTGAATGGAGCGCATTATGTCGGCAGCGCGCTGAATGGCTCGTAGCTCGCTACGGGCATCCATCAAAACCTGTCACTTCGCGTGGTGATCACCGGCAGCCACTGCAGAAGAGAGCGAATAGTAGTCGGAGGACTAGCCTAGAGGAAGGTAGACCTGCCCGTTCGTAGTCAACCCTCCACTCGAAGACTCCACTCAGATTATGGCTCCTATGATTGATCGGTCTGTGTTTTTCTCGGCCTCTCCGAACGAGTGTGGCTCGCGCGATAATGTGGCTACGCTGAGAACTATCGAATCATTCTGAACAAGTGCTATCGCTCGCATCCTTTCCACGCATTGCAAATTTCCCTAGAAGCTAACTTTCGACAAGGCTCCTTTAAGAAAGACATACGAAAATGATGTACGCCGAGAACTGCGATGCCGACGCCGTCTTGGGTCTCGCAAGACGCCTTTGGGCAGCCGTAGGGGGTTTGCGTCGACGACAGACGAACACCATCGTGAGGCGGTGTCAAGTGTTCCCTCACACGAGTCACTTGGGCAGCAGCCGTGTAATCAGAATATCGTGAGAGCGGCACGTCTTACACTTTCCTGCTCAGAAACCGTAACGCTTAAGTCACAGAGCAATTGCAGAGTCTCTTAGATAGACTACATAGCCAATGGGGTTTAGTGTCTATATGAAACTGTGGGAGCTGAGAACCGCGTGGCGACGGGAGAGTACACAATAGAAGGGAAGGGTATCCCTTGTTTCCCGTTTCTTGCCCCTCTCGTGGGGCAGCTGACATACCCCCTTCGTCTCCATCCCCTGCTCGATGACTTTGTTGTATAGGGAAGGGTGTCAAGGTAGCCTCCGACTCCTCGGTCGTTTCTCCCCCGAACTAATGGCTATCGCATTGAGCGCAGCGATAGCGGCAAGGAAGGAAGGTATAAGATTACGAACGAGCGACAGCGGTGTCGAGGGAAATTAGGAATCGCTGGGGTAAGCGGACAACGGGCACGAATGATTTGTCCCTTATTCGGGCCTTGTCTCGGACTTCGACAAGAATCGGATCTTTGACGCATATTCATCAGGAGACTCGGAATCTCAGCGCATCCGATCGAACAAGCCACCACATTGGATCCTCCCGCTGCCAAAAACGACTTCCTTCACGTCAGCGGATTTTTCCTCGGGAATCTTGAAACTTCCTTCTAGTTCTGGAGAGCCAGCCATCGACTGCGGTGACTGTCCTTGTTCGGGATATCGAAACATTCCAAAATGTGATACACCTCGGAATTCTGAAAATTCCAGCGATGGATCACAGAGGAGCGGTTAGGGATCGTTGGACCGACGCGTTGCGAGCGGCCGCCATGACCAATCTGTACCTAAACGGAGTTCAGTCCAAACGCATGAGCGAAAGAGACGAGTCTTTTCTGTGTGGGTACACCTTATTGGATGAGGGGGAGCG